CATTATCACACACATAAGTCAGATGCCCTCACCCTCACGTTCTTACCAAAGGTCAAGATCTCCACGCCGTACTCGCTCGAGATCACCAAACAGATCACGTTCGCCTCGCGACAGACGCCGACGACACTCTCCTCCTTCTCCCCGTCGTCGACATCGTCCTGATCAAAAAGATGCACCTCGTCAAAGGAGACACGAATGGGGTGGACGAGGAGCAAGTACCGACAGAAAGGAAGAAGAAGAAGAGCCTGCTGAAAGAGAAGGACCCAACTTTGGACTTTCTGGAAAATTGGCAGCAGAAACCAATACAGTCAAGGGCGTAGAGCTCAAATATAACGAACCACCTGAAGCAGCAAAGCCAGACAAAAAATGGAGACTGTATGTGTTTAAGAAAGATGAACAGATCGGTATAGGATGATCCAAATGAGGCATACTTAACCTTGGTTTCTAATATTTACATAGATTTGCTGCATATTCATAGACAAAGCTCTTATTTAATAGGACGTGATCGAGTGGTAACATCAAGAATAGTAAAAGAAAGGATCATGGTTAACAGAGTTATAGGTTGTAGACATACCAGTGGATCATCCTTCTTGCTCTAAACAGCATGCTGTTATTCAATATAGAGAGGTAGACGAAAAAGATGAAAGTGGAAAGTTTCGAAAAGTGATAAAGTAAGTAAACAAAATAATAAAAAGAAAAGAGACTAACTACCAGTGTGTAGACCGTTTATTATTGATCTCGAAGCAACAAATGGCACATTCTTGAATGGAGAACAAATACCTACTACACGCTTCATTGAATTGAAGCCACAGGATGTATTAAAGTTTGGTAGCAGTACCAGAGATTATGTACTTTTACATGCAGAAATATAATAAACGTATACAATAAGTTATTCTTTTTTTTTTAATAGTATTTACAATAAATGTGTCTACAAGGCTTCATTCACCAAATTGGAGGCTTGACGGTATACTTCCAGCATTGTCTTGCACCTTTCTCTTTCCAAAGCAATGGTTGGGTCTTCTTTTAATAGTTCTTCAAAGAATTCTTCTCGATATAACGCAGACACTAATCGGTTCTGTACAGACTCCTTTGTATAGTTTACCAAAAAGTGCATAATGGCCTTGGGCACTAGGTCCTGTATCGACTTTCTGACAATATTGAAATAGGATATGATCAAGTATCCTATATACAATTGTTAATATGAGATAACCAACGTTTGACATGACGTACGTATTAACTCTACTTCTCTCTCCTCTTTCTCAGTGCTCTTGCTTCTAAATCCTTCATCGATATCACTGCTTGATTCGTTCTAAAAAGAACAAAAAGTTTAGCGACTATCAGTACCTGTTTCCTTCGTTATAGTAACTTACTGGTTGAGTAGTCTGTGCTGTTTCTTGGCTGTTTATTCTCTCATGTGGATGCTGATTCCACATTTGATTTATCGTCGAGTTCTTTGATGTATGCGAGATAGTAGAGATACTTGACGCAGTAGAAGCAATGGACATGGATCTAGTGGTCCTATTTAAAGCGATCTCGTTGTTCAAGTACTGACGCATCATCTTTTTACGCTCATTGCTTTCTTGTTCTTTATACTTCTTGTCTAGCTGCTTAAGCGCTTCTGCTGCAGTAGGAAACTCGGGATGGTTTGTGTTGATATACGAGCATTCGATAGACACAAGGCTCTGCACATAGGACAAGGTAGGTTCCAATCTCTCTTGCAGTAAATCAGCCACCACTTCCACCAATCGGGAATGCAGCTTTGGGAATCGAGTGATCTCCTTACTGCCACATGTTTGACAGATCTTGGTCAATTCTTCATAAGCCAGATGGACACAACGCAGACTGGGTGCTTCCAACATTCTGATCTGAGGCCGCACGAGGAGGTCAAAGGCCAACTCAGGCACAAATAATGATCCTCGAGGACCTGTTGAGTTTCGCATGGCCGTACGGATATCCGCACTTGTCAAGTTTGCACAAGGATGGATGGCGTCCAGCGCGTGCTTGAAAACGGTTCTAAAGATAAAGTAGATACGTGCTCCTCCTGAAAGCTCTTTGGTAGAAATCTCGGATGATGTTCCATCAATAGACGATACAAATTCAGTTGAGAACAAGGTCAACAATTTCAAAACGAGTGAACTCTACATATATTGATAAGTAAGCTTGTCTTTTTCCCCTCTTATTTTAATCTACCTGTTGTATTGACCCTGATAATGCTGATTCCCCATACTGTGATAACTCGTGCTGCGTTTGACCGATGAGAGAACTCAATTTTGTTCTCAATTCAGGTAGTTTTTCACGGATGTGGTTCACAAGGACCTAACATATCCAGGTAAGTTTTCCTCTTTTTTTACAAATATTTTTTTCATACATGGTTCAATTGTCTGGCCAAATATTGCGACCCACAACGATCAGCTATGCTTCTATAAGCTGGATGACTCTGGAAAAAGAGCTGTTCTGCATTGATAGCATCACGCATCGATTTACTCGTCAAAATATCCTGCTGACTGCGATTGACAACACCAACGAATCCTAATTTCAAGGGAAACACTTTTCCTGTCAGCACATCGAGCGCATTTGTCCCTGCATCCATGAGATCTAACTTTGTGATGACACCCATCGTACGCTTTCCTTCCGGATCCACCTGTCTTGCTAATTTCAAACTATCGGAGTTGGCTAAATCGATTGTTGCAGGGGTCACTGCCAAAATGATGCTAAAGATTATGCAAGTTATTCTTTGTTTCAAGACAAGATATTATCTATTTTCTACCTATTAGGTTTTGAAATGTAATCCAGAACAAGATCTTGTATCTGTGCGCCAATATCGTCTGGTTGATCGCCTTCTTGAATTGTTAATAACTATAGACAAATGGGGGAGGTTCTTTATATGTTACCTATTGGAATCTACAATGTATTACGTTAGTTGTCAAATATCTGCTACACAAAACACGCAATCATTTTACCTTGGTTAAGCCTGGAAGATCGATAAGAGTAAGATTGAGAACGTTATTCAAGTACATCTTTAATCGAATGGGTGTTTTGGAAATGCATTTGTTCTCTCCAGCAATCCTTTCGGTATCTTTAATAATTTCCTGTCTAATCTGTTCAAAATCATAAAATCGCTGACGAGGCAAATGAAGGAATTCTGCATATTCGGTTGTGTCTGAAGCTGTGAATAGCTGTAAGACAAGAGGTCTACGAGTGACAATGCCACTTCCTCGAGGCAAAAAGTCGCGTTGAACAATGTGCTCGAGAACAGACGATTTTCCTGAACTTTGCTCGCCCACAGTGATTATTTGAGGCAAGTCTAGATTATCGCTTCCACCTACAAGCGCAAGAGCATCTTGAAGTTTGTTGATCAAGCCAATGATTGCTTCAGACATGACTAAAAAAGAGAGAAAAAAAAAATTCTTTTTTTTTTGTTGCTATAGTTTTTCTTTCCTCTTTCTCACTCTCTTTCCTTTTTGATTTGGTTTTCCGCCACTAATTGGGCTGTCTGTACCTGAAATTGAGATCATCTCTTTACTTGTGTGAGCAGTAAGAATAATTTTATTATTACTATTTGCATTACGTTCGACGCATCTGATATATTTTATATATTTAGTGCACTTTTCATTGAACCTAGTGTGTTGTACGTACTGTTATCCAAAGAAAAGGGTCAATCTATTATCGTCATGTTCCAAAAGATAGGTTTTTCCCAGGAACTAGTGTTACACATTAACCAAGTGTGCACTAACTTGACTAATGAAACTTTTATGCAACTCATAAATGGATATTGTCTCATTAATATAGCCTTGACTGTAATTCATTCAATTCAGAGAAATAGACTTGATAATGTTGTACAAATGAAATGGTTTTGAAATGGACAAGAGGAGACGGATATGGATTACATGAGTAATTTTGTTCTTATAGATGAAATCGCTTTTCATATAAATCTTGAGCCATGGTCAAATAAAGGGACTCATGTTGAGATAGTCGTACCAAAAATTAGATCAAGAACAACTACGATTTTGAGGTGCAACATCATCATTTGAAATTGCAAATATTCAGCTATGTTGACTATTATATTAACTTTGTCAAAAGCACTTTGTATGCCTTGGATAACCATGAAGAGTTTAAAGAGCATCACACTGTAATAGATAATGCTCTTATCCACTCTTCAGGAGATACTGTTGTGTTTCTACATTTATATTAAAGAAGATTACATCCTTTGTCGTTATACGTTCAATATATATCTCATATTAAGCCTACAGCATCTATAATCTGTAGATGTAATTGGTTGATAACATTTATTATTGCATATAAGATCAATTTCTTTTTTTGTCATGAATCCTTTTCTTTTCTCTGTTCATAAACTATTACGGACTCATTCCATCTACTTGTATTTTCTAATTTTTGGACTGCAGAAGTGGGAAAGATATCTCCAACACATGTTTCGTATTACTTTTCAAGCGATAAAGAATTAGAGAAAAGATGATAAGTTTTTGTATTATTCCTTCATTTCGGTTGTATCAAAAGTTCATTTATGGACCTGACTCTTTCTTTGACTTCATCATACTTATCAAGTGCCATGTGATAAGGTTCCTCAAGGTCTATTGTGACTTTGTATATTCCATCTATTTTACATAAGGCATCTGACTGACACTTGTCAATGGCTTTTTTGTACCATTTCATTGCTTCTTCATAGTCTCGACATACAAAAGTTCCTTCGTAATATTCCTGTCCCAAGTTGTACATACTCCAAACATAGCCTTCCCTAGCAGCTTTCTGGTAGCAGCTCATGGCTTTTGCACCGTTCTTCTCTATACCACGACCAGAAGAATGCATAACACCAGTTAACCCTATAGCATTAGGTAGACCCATCTTAGAAGCCTTGTTTAAATACTCTAAAGTTTTTTGATTGCTTTGGTTGACACCGTTGCCATAAAAATAAATCAGGGCAATGTTATACAGGGCCATTGCGCTACCCTTATCTGCTGCTTGTTGATAGTACTCTATAGCCTTTTGCTTATTTGGCACTACTCCACAACCATAGTTATACATTTGGCCTATAGCGCAAATAGCGTCAGTGGATCCCATAGTAGCGGCTGCTTCATAACGCTTCTTTGCTTCATTGTAATCTTGTTTTACATAGATCCCATACATAAACATTTGTGCGATCTCATAAACAGCGTTGGCATTTCCTTTCTCTGCAGCCATTTCATACCATGCCATAGCCTTTCTATACTCGCCTATTTTGTAGCAATACTTGGCGACATCAAAAATATTGTCAACAGGGTTTTTATGGTTTAGCATTCCAAAATGTTTTACAGTGCTTGTCATGCCTGATTCTTCTACTTCACCAAATTGCTTCTTCATATCGCGCACAACAAAATGCATAATACTAAGTAGTTCAATAGATTTTGGACGGTCATCTGGATCATTTTGCCAGCAGTTCTCAACAAGCTTTCTGTAACTGGGGAGCACGTCTTTTGGAAAGAGGTTTCGATACCCCATAAGTACCATTTCACTGATGGATGCATTGTCCACCAATTCCTTGTACGGATAGCTTCCATTGGCTAATATCTCCCATAGGATGACTCCAAGGCTAAAGATGTCAGATTTAAAAGAAGGAGGACTGCCTGTGAGTAATTCCGGGGCCATCCAACGAACAGCGTTTTCAGAAACTGAGTTGTTAGCTGTATTATCTACTCCAACTCTAACTAAACCAGCACTTCGAAACTTTGGAGTATTATTTTCATCCAAGATAACACATGAAGATGTTAGGTTACAGTGGACAAGGTTATGGCAATGGAGATATATCAGACCACAAATGATGGCTTCAGCAAGCTTCAAACGCTCTAAAAAGTTTGGCTTTTCCGATTTGAGAAAGTTGCATAGGCTGTTTCTTTCTGAATGATTAGCAATAGCAAGTGCTTTATTATTGTACACCAAGATAGTGCAGGGCTTATGAATATATTCATCAGACAAGTCCTCAAGTATAGCCATGTTCTTTTCCCAATCATTATCGAGATCTTCCAAAGGAATCTCCTTCACGAAAACATCCTTTCCATTCAACTTTCCTTCATACTCTTGATGTTTGATAATTGCTTCTATGCGTTTTTGCATTTTTTTACTTTATTGGCAAAGATAAAAGTAAGAAAAAAAAGAGTGCATCTAATAAAAGTAGGAAGAAAAAGATGCATAAACAGATAAATTAACGTGACGTTTATTCCCAGAAAAATATTGTAATCTATCAGACTGGGAGAGGAGCCATAGTATATGCTGGCGCCTTGGCTGACTCCTAAGTAGTCATTACAAATTCTGTTTTCGACATCCCCAACGAAACCTTAACTAAAGCCCATTCTGTTACTGTATGAGTATCTGTATGTAAGTTTGTATGTTGACAACTTTGGTTGTATTCATAGTGACACGGTGTTGGTAAGTATTAAACTAGTACACCAAGTATAGAAAGTAGCATAATGACATTCGTTATTTTTCCGGGCTTATTTATCTCTGTAAAAAGCATAAAGCTTTTGGCAACACTTCTTTTCTTTTTATTATCTCTTTTTCTTTTCAGAGTTTCCTCAATATGGCCTGGCAACATGGCCTTTCATTAGGACGCCTTGGTATAGGCTTTGCGGGCTCAATTACCGCCAATGAAAAATGAAGTTGACAAACCCGAAAGAGTCATCTTCTGTTTAAAACACGCTTTGGAAAACTGGAGTGACGAATCACTTGTAATCAAAAAATGTAATAAAAAAGATGTAATGAATAAACTTCGAGAGGAAGTCTAGAAAATTGGAAAGTATATTCTGCTGAAAACAAATTATCTAATCACAACGCGTTAGATCCAACTATTATTATTGTTGACCTCCCAGAACGTAGAACGAATCCTACCCAAAAAAAAAGACGAAGATTGTTAGAAAATAACTACTTGGAAGAAATATTAAAAAGAGTGACCACCACAGCCACTGCTACCGATGTTGCTTACTAGTCCAAAAAGACATAAAAAGTGGACATGTCTTAATTTTTTTTACCAATAGATGAATATGTTTTTACTTTTTAGGCTCAACTTTGAAGAATATACTTTTTGCTACATTATGATTGGCTGCTTTGATTTTGGTATCATGCAAATCGGCTTCAGAAGAGACTCTTCTTTAGTGACACCTTGAATGGGTTTATTGGGATTTACTGGTTATTTCAATGGAATCACTACTTGATGCTGTTGATTCATTGTCCTCAGTAGCTTCTATCAAATTTACGTTCTTCATCCCATTATTGTATTCTTTATATCTTCGGGATTCCGTCTTTAATCTTTGAACTTCAATAGTAAAATGTAAAGTTGGGCTACCATTTGTAAGCAAGACCACTTCTAGTATCGCATTTTTTATGAGATCTAGAGATCGCTTTATATTATCTTCAGTGACTTCCGAATCGTACATATAGTATGAAGAAGCACTGAGTATGTGAAGCAATAACCTCCAATTGTGTAAAAGAAGTAAAGAAAAAGATAAATTATCAATACATGAGAGCCATATATACTACATTGTATTATGAACTATTCGTGTGGTGTCGCTCTGTCTAAAGACTCTCTTTTACATATTCAAACAGACGCTTCCAGATATATCTCGTCAGCTGAGAATGGTACAGCCATCGGATAAAACTGAATCAGTAATAGCAGATAACGTACGTTTCATTAATATTCATTCATTACATTTTTTAATTTTTTTGCAAAAGTTAGTTCCATGTCAAAAATGGACGACCGGGATTGCTCAAAAAGTGGCGTTGAAATTGAGAAAGAATATTAATAACAGTACATTTCAAGCATATGAAGGGTTGGGCTAGTCATTAACATTCTGGAGAGGAACTAAATGAAGTTATATCTTTTGATTCACTCTTATAACTAAATAGTAGTTGTTAGCTATTGGCTTTTTACTGTTTTATATTTATGGGCGGAAGTAAAAATCTGGTGAATGTTAAATGACGCGTTGTATGCTGAGGTTAAATTAATATATTGGCTATGGCTGAGATTAAGGTACGATCAATGCTCAAAGACGACGGATATTTCACTTTGAAATGTAACTGCAAACCCTCCACAGACATTTTGCTGTGGATGTAGTTAACGCTTGTGGGTATATACTATTGCATGTGCCTTTCCGCAGTCCATACCAAAGAGCATTGACCCAAATTTAACAAGGAATATGAGAAATATGATAGAAAAACCAACGAGTACCAAAGAAACACAAGATTATTGTCTAAAAGGGCTACTTAAGAATGAAAAGCCTTGCTAGAAGATATGTCAAGCTATCTCCATTTCATCCGGATATACCTTAGCGTCTTCTTTCTCTATTATTAGCCGTGTTCATCGCGTTTTGAATGAAATCTATTCTATTGGCTGTATTGTCTGTTTGGTTGTAACAGAACAATGTTTGTGAACACTTTCGCAAAACTTTGAAAGAATGATGTAAGCTTTATTCTTCTTGCATCACTTATAGTCTATTTCATCTACTTTACTAGTTTACTTGAAGAAACTTGCTCTTTCAGCTATCATAGTTCATTCACTGTTTTATGAAAGAGGATGAAAGCAGTAAATGAAGGTGGGGAAATAACACGATAATAAAAAAGGAAACCAAAAGAGGCCCTAAAGTCGTGTTCTCGGGACTAGAACGTAAATAGTCAAACCTATTTTGCAGCTCGGGAAGTTTCCGATGGTAAAATGATCAAGTGGCCCCTTGGGCGTTCATGCTGTGCTAGGTTCCCTTAAAGTGGCTTTTAAGTAAACAATGCTATCTGAAGACTACAATCGATTTACTGTCATGGCAACTACGCATGAGTGACCCCCCTTTGTTCTTTTATATATGAACGGGTGCAAATGGCGCATAAATATTTGTGTAACTATAGCCAGACCTATTTCATAGTAATGGATTATTCAAGTATGTTCCAGCCAAAGATATTGTTTACTGTTTGTTTATCTTTTCTCACTCTCCTTTTTTGAGAATAAATAACAGTAATTTTACTCTTAGATTGTCAGTAGACTCATCTCTATTTGATATCGCGCCTTTGATGAAGTAGTTTTCGCGTAGGTCAAGTACTAACTTGATAAAGTAACGCCATAAATATTCATGTACTGCTGTTGTTATTATTAGCTCAATATTGTATAACAAACAGAAAGAGAAGTTAACTTTATGCAAAAATTTTTCTCGAATTTTTGACAACTATAAGCCAAAATTTTCCTTTTTTGAACTCTATCTATCAATAATGACAAAAGTCATGAATATAGGTTAAACCTAGATTACACTACTTTTATCTGTCTTTTTATTTTTAAAAAAGTAGAAAAGAAGGAGGAGTTCTACAACCGGACCACGGCTTCATTTTGGAAAGTAAAAAAAAGCCCATTTGAAAATTAGACTTTTTTTAATAACGTTTCAGGTAGTACGGTAACACAGAACTATTGTAACCTTTCCAGCATAATCCTTATAAAACCCAATGTCCTTTTCACTTTTTTGTTCCTTTTACCCCCTTTTTTTCTCTTGTACAAGTACTAGAAACTATGTCCTCTTCTCCTGAAGGCTGGTTTTTCATTAAAAATTTGAATAACGGCTACGTTTTGTCAGTCGAAAAGTTCGCGGCTGGTGAACCTGTGGTTATCGCCTCCATCCGTAGTAAGGATGTTGACTCACAGCTCTGGCAACATAGCGAAGATGGTCGCCTTCACAACAAGAAGACCGGATTTGTTCTCGATATTGCTAAAGGTAATTGTTTATTCACCATTTGACGCGTCTCAGTACCCTGACCAATTTTACATTAGGTGCTGCGAAAGCTGGCTCTGATGTGATCGTTCAAAGAGACTCAAACTCCTCTGATGGTCAAACCTTTGGTTTCTCTTCTGACGGCCACATTTATCTGGCAAAAGATTCTAACCTTGTACTTGGAATCAAGGACTCCTTCTTCTCTCGTCGTGAAGGCCAACATGTTCATCTACAGTTGGTTGACAAGAAAAATGTCAAGGAACGCAAGGAGCAGCGCTGGGAATTTGTCTTGCCTGCAAAGCGTACCACGGTTGGTTCTGTTATTTCTGGTTCCGTTGATAGTTTGAAGCGTACTATTAGTGGTGCTTCTCTCGGTAGCATTAGTACATCCTCTCTTCATTCTCATCATGGTACGTTTTTTCTAACGCGTCCTTTTTTTTTCATTATATCACTCACGCGTTTTTTAAAAAGATGAAGAAGGCTGTCTTGACGAGTCTGCTCATTTTCAATCGGATAACTTCCCTGAAAACGAGTTCTTTATTAAGTCTGAATCTACCGGTTACTTCGTTGGCGTTGACGCTACTTCCGTCAATGGTCCCGGTAGCAAATTGTCTCTTGAACCTCTCCGTAAAACTAATTATGAAAGCCAACTCTGGCATTATGACGCTTTAACGGGTCGCTTGATTAACAAAGCCTCTGGCTTCGCTTTAAGTGCTGAAAACATATCTGATGAAGCCCCTATTTGCCAATCTCCACTGTCTTCTGATAAGGATTTAACTAAACAAGCCTGGGCCTTGGGTTCTTCTGGCTCTATCCGCTTAAAGAGTGATCCACACTATGTTCTCGGTTTCAAGGATAATTGGTTTAACTTGAACCGTGAAGGTGCTAATGTCTTACTTCAAAAACAAAGTGACCACAAAGTCCACTCTCATCAAAAGTTTGTTATTGTTCTTCCTATTTTCAAAAAGAAAACTACTGAAATTGTCTCTGCTACCGAGCAAATTGGTGTATTTCCCGAGGGCTACTTTTTTATCAAAAATCAAAAGCACGGTCTTGTCATTACTGTTCTTGAAACTGAGAAGCTTGCTGCACAAGTTATCGCTACTAAACTGGATATGCAAAACTATAACCGTCAACTCTGGACTCACAAAGACGGATTTCTATTTAATAAGGCTTCAGGATTGGTGTTGGACGTACGCGGTGGTTGTATAGTTGATGGTTCCGAGCTTTGCCAGTATAAGCAAAAGTCAGAAGGTTATGAAAATCAGCAATGGGGTCTATCTGTTGAAGGTTTTATTCATGCCAAGACTCACAAGGACAAGGTACTTGCTATTGACGCACAATCAGGAGAAAAGGCAAACCTCGTTTTGGCCTCCAGGAAGACACCCGATCATGAAGAACAGCGATGGAATTTTGTTCTGCCTGTCTTTAAGCAAAAGTCTTGTAAGTTTAACATGAAGGCAGCATAGCTGTAACTGGATTTTAATTATTTATTTTTTTCCCTAGCTTCTGTTACAGAGACAACTGTCCAAAAGTCTGTTACTCATCATCATTATGCCCAATACCCAAGCGGCTGGTTCTTCATCCGCTCTTTTACCAGTGGCAGTACTAATGAATCTCCTCTTGTTCTTACTGCAAACGTTTCCGGAGACTCCTTTACTTTGTCTAAAATCAGCAAGGAGGACTGGCGTTACCAACTTTGGATGCACTGGAATGGTATTTTAATCAATTTTGCCACCCAGTTGGCTATTGATGTTAACAGTAAGTTGCACAGTATTACCCTTGTGTATCGTTTCTCTAAATTTTCTTGCATTTAATTTTTTCCAGACGTCGCAGTTGGATCTACCATCCGTCAGGAATTACGCCAGGCTAACTCTGTGTCTCAGAAATGGTTCATTACCACAGAAGGTTATCTCGTTCATGGCTCAAATTCGGCACTTTCTCTTATCCCAGAATCTACTGAATCTGGCTATAAACTCACTCTTGTTGAACACGTTTCCGTCAAGCAAGAGCACCGATGGGGTCTCTTATCTCCTGAAGTCAAAGCTGAAAATGGCCGCCAACTTTTGTCTAGCTGGAAGGTCTCTCTTTTGAACGAGTGCAAGAAGGTGAATGGCCAATATGTACAAAAGACAATTCATCGTATTGCCAACTGGCCAGAAGATACCTTCTTCATTACCGCACATAACGGCCTCGCCTTGGTACCTGAAAAGTCACAATCTTACTCTACCGTCATTGTCAGCAAGTTGGAAGTCGGACACTACGAACGATTCCAATGGGCCTTCCGTGACGGCTTCCTTGTTCACGTGGCTACCGGTTTGGTCCTTCATGCGGAAGATGATCTGGTTGGTGGAAGTGAACTTCAGATCAGAGAACAATTAATTACCGATAAGCATACAATTGACCAACGCCAACGATGGCTCGTGAAGACCGATGGCTCAATTGTCTCTGAAGCCAAAAATAACCTTGGTTTTGTCCTTGTAGAGCAAGATAAACAATTCCATGTCCAACTTGCTTATTCTAACAACACAACCGAGCACTACAACTGGGGCTTTGTCCATGGTCATTATGAATCCCGCTATAGTGATGTCTACAAGAAGGAACTTCAAGTCTTGTCACGTACTGAAAGAATTCTTTTAACAGTCAGATACGGCCAAGGTAAATACCGTTAAATATACTGTTCAGAATAAGCAATGAGCTAATCCTTGTCCCCCTCTTTTTTTTATGTTTAGCTACTTCTTCACACACTAAACTTGTCACTCATGTCTGTGGTGTATTCCCCGAGAACTGGTTCTTTATCCGTTCAAAAGCTGATAGTTCTCTTGTTTTGACTGTCTCTGATCGTAAAGAAGGAAGCAAGCTTATCCTTGCGAAGCTCGACACCAAGAATTTCCGTCGTCAGCTCTGGCACGTTCAGGATGAAGAATGCCTCGCTAACCTTGAAACAGGCTATGTCATTGACATTGCTGGTGGTGCATTAAACCCTGGAAGTGATGTTATCCAATGGCATGAAAAGTTCTTGAAGCGACAACGAAAGAACCAAATCTGGGGCCTTACTGTAGATGGTCACTTACATCCCAAGTCCCGTCCTGGGCTCGTCTTGGGTCCTAAGGGTAACAAGGCCGTTGATGGCGCTGAAGTCCAATTGCACACTCGAGGCTCTCTTGACCTTGAATATCAACGCTGGTCCTTTGCTATTCCCGTCTTTGGAAGAGCTAACGGTACGAAGGCTACTGGTGTCTTGGAAAACAGCAAAGAAGATGTTTCTATTGAAAGCGTTAGCGAGACTACTGTTACCACAACCAATGTTGATCGCTATGAACGTACCGAGAAGATCACTATTGTCCGTCGCTGGGGTGTGTTCCCTGAGGGAGGCTTCTTCATTCGCGTTAACTATGGTGAAGAGCGCCTTGCCTTGACTGTTGAAAAGAAACCTATTACTGGCAGTGACGGCCTTACTGAATACGAGGTTACTTTGAGACCTATCAACTTTAAGGAGTACCAATGGCACTTCTGGTTCTACCAGGATGGTCACCTTATTAATGCTCAAACTGGATTAGCTTTAGACGCCACTCCAGTCAAGGGTGTCTTAATTGAAGGTGGTTTGCGTACGCCTTTGTATGTTCGTGAAAAGAACATGTCACAGTATCAATTCTGGTCACTTACTGCTGATGGTGAAATTCATTTGAGATCCGACCAGCGCCTAGTTGTTGGTGTCTCCAACTCCAGACGTACCTCTGTATCTGGTGCTCAAGTCGGTATTCATGAACTTCGCGTTCGCAAGTTTGTTAACGAAAAGGGTCAACAAGAGGCCTCCATCAAATCTGAACAATGGCTTCGTTGGGTCTTCTCCAAGCCTGTTTATGGATCTAGCAAATCAGCTACGACTACTACTGAAGAAGTCACTAATGTCGTCTCTGCCATCACTGGCGGTCTTGTTGCTTCTAGTCAAGTAGTGGAAGGTTTCACTGATCATAAGCTTGAAGTCAAGGAAACCGAAGAGAGCTCTGATGACTACGTTGAAGAAAGCGAAAGCGACGACGATGAAGACAGTGAAGAAGACGAGGAAGCTGTTAAGCAGAGATCCGTCACTGATAAACTCAACCTTACTGGCAACTTGGGCATTGCCACTGCTGGTGCTACTATCTTGGCAGGCGCCGCTGGAGTTGCCAACGCAGCCACCTCCATCCTTGGCGGCCAGAGCTCAAAGGCAGACTCTACCACTGTTGTCGACAACCAGAAGCAAGATACTGTTAACACCGAGATCAAAAAGGTCACGCATGCTTCTCGTCAAGACTCATTCCACCTTTCCTACCAGTATGTTCCCACTGGTTATGAAAAGGTTGTTCGTTACAAGTCTCATCAGAAGCCCTTCTTCCCTACTGATGGTTACTTTATGATCAAGAGTTATCTTCACGGCTACGTTCTTGATGTGGCCAATGGTATTGCCAAAGACGGCAGTTATGTCGTTCTTGCTCCTATCAAGACTACTGACTTTGCTAGTCAACTCTGGTCTTACAGAGGTGGTCGCCTTGTCAATCTCAAGGGACACAACCTTGTGCTCGATGCTTCTCTGACTGATAATGTCTCTTCAGGCGAACGCGTCGGTATCTCCACTCAAAAGACATCATTGGGTATCTCCGATCAACACTGGGAATTTGACCTTGACAGCGGTGTTATTCATTTAGCTGGCAAGCGTAGCCTTGTACTCTCTGTTAAGGAACTCAAGCCTGCTACCGAAAAGTCCGGTCCTGTTGATGTCTTTGTACAAGAAGAAAAGTCTCACAAGAAGAGTAACTTTGCTCGTGCTGAACAGCGATGGGAAATTAAGATCCCTGCTCTTGTTCCTGTCGATCAAACAAAGACTACTAATGTCGAATCCAGCTACACTATTATTGAGGCTGGTAAGGTCAGTGCTGTCTCGAGTTCTCTTTCTGCTGTTCTTGCATTTGAATGGTTAAAGTCTACCTTCTACCATAAGATGGCTCACGACAACCAATGGCCTAGTACTGAAAATTGGTTCTTTGTCCGTATTGGTAACGAAAACGCCTTCTTGAGCGCAGGCACAAGCGCAAAGGATGAAGTAACGTTTTCTCCTATTGCTTCTCGTGATGATCATAAGCGATTCCTGTGGGCCTATGTCGACGGTTATTTGGTAAACTACAAGTACATGCTTCGTCTTGTGTTCGACAAGGGCGCTAGCAAGTTGCTTCTCTCTAGTAGCACAGACACACTTACTCAAGTGTTCTATATTACCAGCAAAGGTGCTCTTTATGTCAAGATCAACTCCGAAACTATTTACTTTGCCACAACCGTTGTTGACAAAGCAACAAGCAAGTACAGAATCACTACTACCACTGAATCTGAGCACCAGTCAGTTGCTCATCCTATTCAGTTGCACATTCCTGTCTACACCAATTATCAAGTCGAGAAAGAGGCTAATGTAGCCTTGTCTACTGTTATCACTTGGGTTCATACCTGTCAAAAGGTTACCACCACAAAGATCACCAAGTCATATCGCTATGGTGTCTTCCCTGTCTCCACTTGGTTCTTCATCAAGGCCGATACAAAGGGTGGCGACAGTCTTGTTCTTGCTGTAAAGGATAACGCTACTTCTGAAGGCGCCAGCTTGGTGTTGAAGAAACTTAGCTTCAAGGACTACAAGAGCCAGCTCTGGACATTCCGTGATGATTCATTGTATAACTATGGATCCAAGCTTGTAATTGATGTCCATGGTGGTGTTCAAGAGAATGCCTTGATCAAACAGTCCTCTGAATCTGGTCTTGGTACACAGAAATGGTCTCTTACACCTGAAGGTCGTATTAAGCTTGACAGTTACGAGGAATATACTTTGGGTATTCGTCAATCCGACAGTATTGTTGAAGATGCCGAACTTGTATTGCTTCAATATAACGAGTCAAAGGCTGCCCAAGCTATCACTTGGAAATTCTCCGTACCAGTGTTTGGCAAGAAGAATGCTGAACATGTTACTTCCATTGACACTATTGCTGCTTCTATTGAAGAAGGTGCTGTTATCGAAACCGTTGAAGAGATCAAGTTCAAGGTTGATGAAGTATTTGCCAAGAAGACTAAGCGCTCTTCTAACAATGTCGCAAAAGTTGATGATAAAGAAAGCCATCATGATGCCCATGACATCCTCAGTAGCGTTGGTATTGTAGCTGGTGCTGCTGCTGCTGGCACAGCTGTTGTTGGTGTAGCATCAAAGATTATGGATAAGCTTACTGAAAGTTCTGACTGCAAGAAGACCGACTCAAAGGCCTCCACTGCCGTTCAAAAACAAGATTCCAAGTCCAAGATTTCTGTAACCGACAAGTCCAAGAATACTGAAACGGTTGTTGTGCGTCGTTCTAAGCGTACATCAGTACAGGTCATTCAAGAATCCCAATCCATTGTTCGTGCATGGAGAATTGTGTTCAGCCAACGCATTCACCGTTGTGCTTCAAAGACCGAGTTGATTCAAACTATTGAGGAATCTCGTGAAGAATTGTTCAGACGTTTAGACGAGCATCTTCGTGTCTACACCTCTGTTGAGCACATCGTCTCTGGTTCCATTCCTGAATGGCATGTCTCCATTCAGCAAGTCAAGGAACTTTACCGTGCTCGTATTTTTGAAAGCTTCCTTGATCGTTTGCATCATGAAGACATCAACTATGCTAGCGAGCTTGATTTCGACTCTATCTTGGATTCTGCTACAGAAGAAGTTGATCGTCACTATGCCTCTGTGATTGAAGAACAAAAGAAGGTTCAGACGGAAGTTTCTACAAGTGTTGAAGGCAGCACTACTACGGAAGTGTCTTCCCATGAACACATTCTTCTTACTGTCGACACCATCAAAGTCAAGGTTCGCTACTGGCTCATTGGATTGTACGAAGCCATCTCAGTTGCCAAGAAGAACGGTAGCTCTGAAGAGGAAATCAACACTATTGTTGAAAACTCTCGTAAGCAGCTTTCTGCCGAATTGGGTGAAATCAAATCCTCTGTTAAAACTCATGTCGAGAAGTCCTCTACCACATTGGCTTCTAAGCAAACTTCCATTGTCAACACAATTGATAAGGCTATCTCTCAAACAGAAACCTTGGTCACCAAGCAAGTCACTACTATTCGTACTGAGAAGCACTATGAAGTCTCTGAAGAGTACTGGCTTGAAATAACTCGTACTGCCGAAGAAAGCTTATCTTCTGAACTCAAAGTTTATCAGAATGCTATCACTCAAGAAGTCTCTGAGGCTCAAAACAGTCAAGTCAGCAAGACTGATCAAGCTGAGATCTCAGTTGTCTTGGATGAAAAGATGGTCAGTGTTGCCCAAGAGACAGTTAGCAACAAGTTGATTGAAACAAAGACCAAGCTTACTAGTTGGTTTACGGAAGTCACTCAACAAATCTCTTGGATTGCAGAATCCTCTTCATCTCAGGAAACCTTGAAGCAGGACACCATTGCAATTGTCGATGCTGCTCAGATCGAACTTGCCACTCGTATTGAGGAAGCCAAGTTGGTCTTGCGTACGTACTATGCCCATTTGACTTATCTTAGCTGGGCTGAACGCCGTCGTATTGAGTATTCTTTGGATAACATCAAGGCATCCATCGTGGCCAATATTACTCACTTCAAGCAATCAATTGACAAACAAGAGGTTACAAAGGAGGAGATTATTCGCTACTCCAGCTACTCCTTTGGCGCTACTGTCTCCCGTATGGTTGTCTTGGATATTCAGACAATCGTCACAAAGGTATCTAAGGTTAAGGAAACCAAGACAGTTGTCAATACTTCTGACGAAAAGAAGGCCGAGGTCGCAAAGGTTGGTGTCATCACCGAGAAGAAGTCCACTACCACTGATAAGGTTGATGCTGTTAAGACGGATATCTCCAAGACCCAAGAAATCCAAAAGGTTAATGTCGATCAAAAGACCCAAATAACCGATAAGGTCGAAGCTGAAGTTGAACAGACCAAGGTTGGTAAGGTCGAAGAGAAGGTCTCTACAGCTGTTGAAGAGAACAAGACCTCTAGCAACACTGGTAAGACCGCTTTGACTGCTATTGGTGCTGCTGCTGCCGCTATGGCAAGCGCTGCTATCTTCCATCACCATGAAGGCAAGGAAACTCAAGAAAAACAGGAATCGGGCGTATCAACTGCTGTTGTTGAGAAGCCTTCTGTTACTCAGACCAACGTTGTCCTTGGAGGTAACGCTAAGACTCTTCATGAACATGACAAGAAGAAGACTACTACTACAAGCAAGCAAGAAAAGTCTGAGACTCTGGTTGTTGTCTATGACCAGGTCCAGGTCACTGTTAAGGAATGGCTCACCAACTTGAATAAGCGTGTTCTTGAATGTGCTCAAAAGAAGTCTGAAAATGTTCAAGAAGAGATTGATACAATCATTTATGAATCTCAACAAGAACTTGTGGTCGCTATTGAAAAGGCCAAGAGAACAACTACTTCTGTCATCGGTACTTCTCAGACCTCCTTCCATGATACTCTTGCTTGGATCCGAAGCACTGTTTGGACTCAAACCTCTGAAGTGAAACGCGTTGCTCATGAATTTGCTACTTCTTCAGAGACTGATGTCGCTGTTTATGAACAGAAGCTTAATTCAATCAAGGAAACTACCTTGTCAAAGGTCAATACCACCATTGAAAAGACTAAGCAATCTGCTGCCTCAATTCATATTGTTGGTCACGAATCATCTGCTACTATTGCTGCTGGCAAGAAGTTTGAAGGCGTTGACTACTCCAAGACTAGCCACGGTGAATCTATCGAAAAGACAAAGGTTACAGTTGGTATCCTTATTGAAGAGACCCGAACCACTGTTCGCCGTACTCTGGATCAACTTGCTATTTCTATTGCTGAACGTCGTAAGCAAGGAGGTGAAAATGTCCAAAGCGATATTCAAGAGATTGTCAAGAAGTCTCGTGAGGAAATTACTCGTTATATCGAGCACTCCAAGAGTGAGTTTGAAAAGCGTATCACTCATACTCATCAAGTGAAAGAATCCTCAAACAAGGTTGAAGTTGAATTGGTAAAGGAAACCAACAAGAAGGTTCAAGCTACATTGGAACAAATTCAAGAAACCGTCTTGGTACAAGTATCCAAGGTTGAAGAGGCCTCTACTACCGTTGCTACAACTGAAGTCACTGAAGTTGAGTACTCAGAGAAGCTGACTTCCATCTGTCATGAGGCCTACGAAAAGGTCGATGTAACCTTGTCTGTATCCGAGACTATCATTGGTCATCACGTTGAAGTTGTAGCTGAATCATCTACTGTTGAACACACTACTACTACAGCCACTGAGAAGGCCGAGTCCAAGAAGGTTTCTTTGGGCGTTGAATACGGTATTGTAGTTGTCGCTGAAACTACCAAGGTTGTCTCTAGTCAACTGTCTCAATTGATTGAACGTATTCATCATCGTATTGCAACTAGCAAGGAGACCATCGAAGTGGATGTTGAAAGTTATGTGAAAGAATCCAATGCTGAAATCGACAAGGCTCTTGATGAAGCCAAGTCCAAGATCGAGTATGAGCTGTCCATGGTTGCTTCACACGAAAAGGTCGAAGAGGAACACTTCCTTGCTGTTATTGAAGAATTACGTTCATCATCCAAGAAACGTATTTCACAGGTACAGGAAGTCGTCGTTTCCAAGAAGGAAGAAACCAAGACTGTCTCTGAACGCTTGATGCAAATTGCTGAGGAGTCTCGTCACGAAGTTTCTTCTCATCTTGAATCCTTCAAGAAAGCCGTATTGAACAAGACTGAAAAGGCCAAGGAATCAACCCACCACGGCACTTCAGGCTCTACTGCTGTTACTCAAGTTGAAGAAAAGGACCATGAATCCAAGGTTGACCTGGCCAAGAAGGTTCTTTTGGGATCTGCTGCAGTTGCCGCTGGTACAGCCATTGCTGTTGAAGTCGCCAAGAAGGTTTCTGCTCATAAGCAAAAGGTCGAAGAAGAAGAGAAGGTCAAACAACAGACAGTTGTTGTAGTTGAAGACGTCAAGACACAATTCAACCAATGGATCTCTTCTCTCACAGAAACCGTTGTGAAGCAAACCAAAGAATCCCAAGTTTCTCAAGAGGAAATCTCTATCACTGTTGAAAAATCCAAGACTGAATTCTTGGAAGTTATCAAGAAGGCCAAGACAAGCACAGTCATCACTGAACAACATCAACAAGATGTCTTGAGCTGGATTGAGCAAACTGTTGTTGCTCAAGCTAACCGTATTCAGGAAGTTGCTGTCAAGTCTAGTTCTTCTAGCGTAGTTGACATTGAATCAAGGCTTGAAGTCATCAAGATTTCCACTACTCAAGAAGTTGAAAAGGCTTTGGAGAAAGTCAAGGACATCAAGTCTTCCACTACCAAGTTTGTTGGTTCCACTATTGAGCAGCTCCAACAAAAGGAATCTGCCTTATTGGACGTAAAGAGTGAACTCACACTTGTCATTCAAGATGTCAGAACCTCTCTTGTTACCTTCTTCCAAAAGTTCACTAGCTCCGTTGTTGAACGTGTCAAGCAAGGCGGTGACAATGTTTCAAAGGATGTTGCTAATTTGGTTGCCAACACTAGAAAGGAGGTTACATCCTACATTGAAAATATTAAGGATACCGCAACAAAGAAGTTATCTTCTTTGGAAACCAAGTCAGCTGCCTCAGTTATTTCAGTTGCAACACTCTCTGGTATTGCTACTGCTGAACTTATTTCTGCTATCAAGTCTACCGAGGAAACTCTGATTGAGAAGGTTAACCGTGTGTACTCTACTGTTTGGTACATTGAAAAGAATCAGGACACCACTGAGATCATTCAAACCATCGAAACCATTGAAAAGGAAACTACGGTTGAAATCACTACAAAGATCGAAAGATCTCATAGCAACGTTGTCAGCGGAATTAAAGAACACCACCATGCCGGTCATATCACTGCCACTGAGACTGTTCACCATGATAGTGCATCCTTGTCCGCTTCATTGACCATTCAAGAAGTTAAGGTTACCATTCGTGAATGGCTCCGTACCGTTGCTGAAAGAGTCTCTGTCTCCTCTCAAAAGGGTGGATCATCCGAAGAAATCGAGTCTATTATCAATGAAGAAACCACTCGTATCTATGAGTACCTTGATTCTTCAGTAACCAAGATCTCTGATCATATCAAGTCCGAAGAAAAGATTCAATATCTTCACTCAACTGTTGAAAACATCAAGTCTACTATCAACAAGACTACCACTGAAATCAAGACCATTGGTGTCGAGTCTTCTGGCAAGTCCAACTCTTATGGTGGCTTTGACAAGATGACCTCTGTTATCACCGAACACGAACACATCATCAGTGAGGCACTTGTTACATATGAATCCAAGACTACAGTCAAGGAAACCCATAAGCAAGAATCTCAACATGAGGAAGTCGTCAAGCATGAGGAGACTAAGCAAAACAAGAATGTCGAAACGGTAATCACAGTTGAATACCTCACGACTACTATTCACACCTGGCTTGAAGAGCTTATGATTGAAGTCTCTGAAATTGCTAAGCGCGAACACGATATCAATGTTGCCACGAAGCAAATCACCTCAGTCATCAATGACGCCAAGGAATTCATCACTACCGAATTGGAAATCGTTTCCAAGAGAGTTCGTCAAACAAAGTCTAGCTCTTCTCAAGAACTTGTCAACGCTATCCAATGGTCTATTGGCATGATCCTTCAAAGCACTACCCAGATTCAACAAATCGGCGTCAATTCTGCTGTGTCCTTCAGTACAACTGGCGGTATTGAACAAATGCGTTCTTTGGTCAGCGCAACTGAGACTCAAATCAAGGTTGTTCTCGAACGCTGTGACAAGACCATCAAGGTCGATATTGAGCGTAATGCTACTCATTGCGAAAAGCACAAGGCTGTAAGTTGTTATATGTATATTTATTATACTAGCTAACATGTATATTCTTAGAAAAAGGAACACAGAAAGCAGGAACGTGAAAAGGCTGATAAGGTGAAGAAGGCCAAAGACCAAAAGAAGAAGCCTTGTGATTCCAAGAAGGATAAGAAGGACAAGAAGCCAAAGAAGCATGACTCTGATTCCGAGACTGAATCTGATTTTGATGACTCTGACAGCGATCATTCTGATGCTGATGATCACAAGCAGAAAGTTAAGTACGAAAAGAAGAAGATTGTTAGTGGTGAAGCTGCCTTGAGCGTCTCTGTCATTGTCCGCGAGTGGTACGAGAAGCTCATCGTTGATATTTCTGAACGCGCTAAGAAGGGTGGATCACATGTCGATACCGATATTGAAGCTATTGTTCAAAAGTCCACTCGTACTGTCACTGAGAAGCTTCGTTTGATCAGTGAAAATGCTCACAAGTCTCTTGTTGACGCCTCTACTGTTCAACAGTACCGTGCCTCTATTGAATGGGCCAAGAACTTGGTCATCCAGAGCAGCCAACAAATCAAGAGCATTGGTATCAATACTGCCATCTCTGGTACTTCCAAGACCGGTGGTATTGAACAAATGCGTCCTATTGCAGTTGCCATTCAGCAGCAAATCGATGTTGAAATCCGCCGCTACAAGTTGATCACTGAAAAGCAGCAAGCAACTTCTACTACCTCAGAAGTTGTAAAGAAAGTGGAATCCAAGCCTGTAAGCTCTGTTGAACACAAGTCCAACAGTCAAAAGATCTCTGTCAGCAAGGAAACCGCTATTGCACGTAAAGAATACTGCCAGAAGCTTCAGACGCATGTTACAGAAGTTGTTTCTGAATCCAAGACTGTCATTACTGCTTGGTTCTCTCAGGTTATCAGAGACGTCTCTCTTCGTGTACACCAGGGAGGCGATAACGTTCAACAAGACGTTGCTATCATTATCAAGCAATCTAAGGCTCAATTGGACGAAACTCTCAAGCGCACCCATAAGAAGCTTGTCTCTTCTATTGAAGTTCATGAAGAAGATGAGACATTCTCTGTTATCGAGTCTCATATCCAGCAAAGCTTTGAAACTATTCAAAAGACTGTAGACTCTAGAGTGACTCAGATTCAAGAAGTTACTGTCAAGTACAAGTCCGAAACTGAAGTTACCGAGAAGCTTGCGGGTATCTTGGAAGTCTCAAAGGTACAAGTCAACGAAACTTTGGACACTGCTTGTAAGCATGCAGTTACGGTTATTCAGGAAGAAACTGTTCAGACTGAATCTACTGTAACAATTGTTGAAACTGTTGAATACGTCAAGTCCGTAGTCACCTCATGGCAGACAAAGCTTATTGAACAAATCCATACTATCAGCATTGATGAAACTATCCAGAATAAGGAAGAACGTATTAATATTCTTATTCAGGAAGCCAATACTGAAATTGAACGTGTCACTAAGGAGGCCAAGACTAAGATCAACGAAAACTGCACTTCAGTCAAGAAGATCAGCAAGTCCAAGCAACAAGAGCTTTTGACAACCATTGACTACGTTCAAGAGACTTTCACTACTGACGTCAAGAAGGTTCAGGAAGTCAGCGTTGAAGCCGTCAAGAAGTCTGAGACCAACGTCAAGGAAACTATTTCCTCTGTCATTGAGTCTTCTCGTAACAAGATTGATAGCTTCCTCACTCGTACTGCTGCTGTTGTTGTAGGAACCGCAACCGCTGCCATGGCTGTTCACGCTATCAAGAAAAAGCATGACGAAGACAAGAAGGCTGCAAAGAAGACCGAAACCAAATCCCAAGATCAATGGTCTCTTACTGCACAAGAAAACGTAAAGGCCATCTCCCAATGGTTTGAACTCTTCACTCAGCGTGTATCAACCTCTGTACGTCAGCAACAAGGAGATATCACTCAACACATCACCTCTGTTACCGAACACGCCGAGCAAGAGATCTCTGAAATCATTGCTACTGCTCGTAACGATTTCGTCAAGAGATTGTCTCATGAGAACTTGGATCAAGAGGCTTACAACTACGCTGTGTCTCACTACGAAGAAAGCCTCGAGTCTGTTCGCAGCTCTATCTTGGTTGAAATCACCGAAGTCAAGAAGGTTGCTATCGAAGCTCACACGACTGGCAAGATTGAAATTCTCGATATTGAACTTGGCAAGCTTGTGAACGAATCTTCTGAACGTATCAAGGTTGCTATGGGCTCATCTGTTTCCATTACTCACAAGACACAGTCAGAACATGCATCTGAAAACGCTGGATCCGTCGTACATATCGAAGTCAAGGATGAGCAAGAAGTCATTGGTGAAGAAGAAATTGACGTTGAAAAGAAACAAGAATCTGTCGCTATTGAACACAAAGACAAAGGTATACTATCGAATGAGCATAGGACAACTTCTAACTATTTTTCATTAGTTCAAGAAACTAAGCATCAGTCTGGTATTGGAAAGGTTGTTGCTGGCTCTTTAGCCGTTGGAGCTGCTGCTGCCGGTGCTGCTGCTATCGCTCATGAAAAGCACAAGAAGGAAGAAAAGGACTCCAAGAAGACCGATTCCCGTCTCAAGTACGACACTGGCGTTGCTACTGTTGAAAGCGTCAAGATTACTATCTCCGAGTGGTTTAAGGCTCTTGTCCAAAAGGTCTCTACCGCCTCTAAGTCTGGAGCTTCTTCTGAGCAAATTACAGTGATTGTCCAAGAATCTCGTACGGAATTGACTCAAATCATTGAGCATGCCAAGGTTACTGGTGCTGCTCACTGTTCATCAGCTACTGATGAACAACAGTACATTAGCAAGATCGAATGGGTCTCCTCTGTTGCTCAAGCTCAAGCTACACAGATCCAACAGATTGGTGTCAATGCTGTCGTTAGTAAGACTGATCTTACAGCTCAAATGGAGTCTTTAGCTACTGCCTCCTTCCATCAGATTGAGGCCACTTTGGATCAAGTCAAGACCTCTGTCAACTTCCACCAAAAGATCAATAAGCTCACCGGTAAAGTTGTAGACACGACCAAGCACTTGTCCAAGCCTATCACAGAAAAGACTACTTCTGCTGTTGATAAGACCAAGGTTGCTTATGGTGTTATTCAAGAGACTCGTGTTGCTACGGTTGCTCTCTTCATCTCCTTATCCGAGAGTATCGTCAACCGCATCCGTCAAGGTGGTGCTAATGTCCAAGAAGACGTGAACAAGATTGTCGAGTCTAGCGAACAAGAAGTTGCCAAGATCTTTGAAAAGGCCAAGACCACCTCTGTTGAAATCGATGAAAAGACTCGTCTTCAGCTAGAGAACTCCCTTACCGAAGTCCACAAGACTGTTCAAGAACAAATGACACAAGTCAAGACAACCACCATTGAAGTTGTCAGTTCAACAACCACTGACTCCAAGGTAGCTATTGAAAAAGTCCTTGAAGTCAGCAAGTCCTCCAAGAGCAAGATTGAAACTGGATTTACCTCAATCTCTGAAACCATTACTGCTGGCCGTAAGTTGTAAACTATTATTGTATTGCCCCATACTAAATTATCTTTATATAGTTGTTATCGTTAGCCAAACCGCTGAAAAGGCCACCAAGACCATTCAAGGTTGGTTCTCTGAACTTACTGAAAAGATCAACAAGGTCTTGGAAGTTAGCGACTGCACTGAAGAAGAGAAGCAGCAAAAGATTAATGTCGTTGTTGCTGAAGCTGAGGTTGAGATGAAGACCAAGATTACAAAGATGCAAGAAGAAACAACGATTGCTGAAAAGAAGACTTCTACCGAGGTCTCTACAGATCACCACTTGGATGTCTTCTTTGGAAACATCACTTCAACTGTTGAAAGCCAGTTGAACCAGGTTAAGGTTGCTGTTCAGGACAAGAACAAGATTAACAAGACAACGATCAACGATGTACTCAAGACCACCGAAACAAAGTTGACACAAGAAGTAAATACTCACTATGACGCTGTCAAGAAGATTACGGCCGTTGACCATATCACTGGTACTGCTCAACAGGTCGCCAGCCAAGTTGAAAAGAACAGACATGAACTGTACAAGGACACTATTGAAAAAGTCGCTGTAGGTACTGCTGCCGTAGCTGCTGCCGCCGCTGTTGCCATTGGTTATCACAAGAAGAACCAACAAGCTGAAACCACCTCAGTTGAAGTTGTCAAGGAAACCTACATTCGCCAAGTCCGCTCCAAGGTAGATATCTGGTTCACTCGTCTTACTGAAAAAGTCATTGCTCGTACCAAGCAAGGTGGTGATAATGTGTCTGTTGATGTTGCCAAGATTGTTGAATCTGCTCAAGGTGAACTTGAAGTCATTGTTAATGAAGCCAAGAGTCAACACAAGACTGAATATGAGTCCTCTGAAACGAAGCGTACATTCACAAGCACTCTTGAATGGATCAAGACCACAGCCGTGACTCATTCTACCCAGATCACAGAAATCGTCAGTCACAGCTCTTCCAGCTCCATTGACTTGGCTACTCAAATCGAAAACCATGTCATGACTACCAAGCAACAGATCGACAGTGCATTTGATATCCACTACAAGAACGAATCAAGTACTGTTGTCAAGACTGAAGAGAAGGTCAAATTATCCAAGGAAGAAGTCGACTCTAGCTCCACCTCAGTTGAAGTTGTCTCTGATGAAGAGAAGCATGAAAATGTTGTTCAAGTTGTTGTTGAAACTCGTGAACAAACGCAGAAGCGTATCAGCTTGGAAACAACTGTGATTGTTCAAGAACGCAAGACCGAGATCACCAACTGGCTTGTCCTCCTCATGGAAAGTTTGACAACCATTATCCACAGCAATTCCGATAACATCCGTCGTGATCTCTTTGCAAGACTCGATGTTGCTGAGAGGGAAGTCGATACTATTGTCCAAGATACCAAGAAGAAGTTCCTTTCCATCACTTCATCCTCTGCAACTAGCAAGGTTGATGTAGAAACACAGAAGCTTGTCACAAGCTCCATAAAGCAATCTCTTGACTGTATCGATAACATCAAGGTCACCGTCCTCCGCCAGATCTCTGTTGTTCGTGAAATCTTGAGCCGCATTGAAGTTGAAGACATTGACGTGATCACCGAAAGAATCCATGCTGTCATCACTCGTACTCAGCACCGTGTTCACCATACCTTTGATGCTGGTATTGAATTGGCCATCACCTCTGCCTTTGAAGGCAAAGTTGTCACCTGGTCTGAGATTGCTACTATTCCTCAGTCTTTCAAGGACGTTCGTGTGGTTGCTTATGATCTCGTTGGAACCGTTGTGAACTACCGCAAGACCTTGTATGAAGTCTGGAAGAGAATTGTTACTCCCAAGAATGATGTTGTTCTCAGCACATTGGACTTTAACAACTTTGTCAATGACTGGTTCGGTGCCTACTCTGAGATCAAGAGAAACAATTTTGTCCAGAAGCGCCCTGTTTCCGATGACGTTAGCCTTCACGAATCTCTTGTTCACATCTTGCAACGCTACTATGTTAGAGAATCATTCTCTGATGCCGAGATTGAAGAACTCTGTGAAAGCTGGAGAAAGATTGACACCTACGAAGACGCATCCATTGGTGTTCGCCGTATCAAGAACCAAACTAGTTCCAAGTATGCCACCATCGCCATCTCCGACTCTTTCTCAACTCGTACAATGATCGATTTGGCTCAACAAAACTGTCTCTGCTGGCACGCTCAGTTCTCTGCTGAGATGTTTACTGGTACAAGCCAATCCGCTACTGAAGCTGTTGTTGAAGGAACTATTCGTTTGCTTGGCTTGAAACGCGCTAGTGAGCTTGCCCTTGTCTCATCTAACGCTCAATTGGTCTCTGCTGCCAAGAAACAAGGTTGTCATGCTGTCTTGATTGAACGTGAAGACTTTGCCCAACACACTGAACATGCCTCAGTCGAGTATGATGTCAAGGTTGATGGTTTGGACGTCTTCGGTGAAAGTGTACAAGCTTTCTGGGAACATGAGTCTATGGCTCAAGTTTGGAACGACAAGCAAGCACCATCTGCTCCTGCCGTCTTTGTTCAAAAAGTCAAAGGATGGTTTAACAAATAAGAAATAATGTAATCATTTCCACTTATTGTATGATTTTTATCATTTTATATTTGAAAATAAATAAATAAAAAAAAAAAGTGGAATTAAAATGCAAGTGTTTATTATAATGTAATGTCATGAATAAGCTTGATTAATGCAATGAATGTAAGAGTGAATATCTGTATCTGATGCAATAGAGTCTGGTTCATATTTGATCTTGTTTTGTAAAGTGAGTGGAAGTTTGTTTATATCAAACTCTGGGCAGTAACTAGTCACGTTTGCCTGTATTTGTCTTATCTTACAATGACTGCCTATAGATTGATAAAGTATGCTCATGATCTGTTTCCTACAGCATTGTTCGTTATCTGGCGCACATTTTAATATGCTCCCTTCGCCCTGTTGTTCTACAGGTTCTTGGTTTAAGCCTCTATCAGTAATGAAGTTTTCAAATGGATGTGTCTGTTTTATAAAGTTCATCTCTTGCTTCAATCTCTCATTTTCAAGTCTCAATCTATGAATCTCAACTGTAAAATCTTGTTTCATTTTACTGTTGATCTCTGTAAGCTCTTGTATTTCTCTTAATAGTTTTGCTATTCGATCGTTTTTTCTTTCTCGATAATTTCTCTGATTGATACGGTTTCGTAATCGTCTGTAGGCCTTTGGATCGTCTATGGCAGCCTAAAAAATGATTAGAAACAATATTGAATCAAACAAACAGATTCAGTACGTCGTCTTCAATGAGTTTGCGACCCACTCTTTTAACTAGATTAGAGTCAACATAAGATTATAGTCTTTTTTTTCCTTTGTAATTACTTTGCATGGTTGACTCTTGTGAGTCAAGTAGATCTGAATCAGTTGAACTTTGTCTGGAGTTTAACATTATGGAAATAAAAAGAAATGACAATCACTTTTGTAATATTTGTTAAAAATAAAAAGTATTAAACATAAAAGTCAATGGGACAAAAGAATAATATGTTTATTAAGTAAATATCCTATTGACTTATATATGGTTATTGATGCGTAGAGGCTTTGCTTTCCTACACTTTGTTGGGGATTTTATTTAATGTCAACGTGTTATCCTTACAGTTATACCCTAATGAGGCTTCTAGACCATTTATAAAGTGAATCTCTAAACTGATATATGTTATGTATACGATGTATCTAGCGTGTAAACATCACAACTTTTATTAAATATTATACTTCAATGTCTTTTTGCTTTTCTTTCCAAGAAAGCTTTTTCCTAAAGTAAAGGCAAATGTATGAAATAATAACTAAAACAGGTACTTCAATCAATGGACCAATGGTTGCAGCCAGAGCTTGTTCTGAACGTATGCCATAAGTTCCAATAGCAACAGCAATGGCCAATTCAAAATTATTACTACTTGCTGTAAAAGACTGGGTGACGACTTGCTTGTAAGGAAAGAAGATCTTTAGGATGAAGAAGGGAATAAAGAACATGATGATGAAATAGCAAACCAAAGGTACAGCCGTACGACAGACAGGGCCTATATGGTCAATGATTTGGTGCCCCTGATTTGCAAACATGATAATGATTGTATATAAAAGACCAACAAGAGCCAGAGATCCAAATCGATTTATGAATTTTTCTTCGTACCACACTGAGCCTTTCCATCCTTTCAAAGTAAAGCGAGTAATTACTCCAGCAATCAGAGGAATACCCAAATAGATCAAGACGGACCGAGCAACAGCCCAAATATCAACCACGACAGATTTCTCTGGAGGTGCGCCAAACCATGAGGGTACTATGTTGATAAATAATACGGCGTAAGGAGAGTATAAAGCAATTTGAAGTATCGCATTGATCGCAACCAAAATAGCGCAGTAGTCTGAGTCACCTTCAGCAATGGATACCCAAATGAGGACCATAGCGATACATCTAGACTAAAGTGTTAATTGGATGTCTATAAATTATACTATACATATATATAAATATATTCGTTACCTAGCTAAACCAACCATAACAACTCCTGTTCGAAGCTCAGGCAGATCAGGTAAACAAGCCCATGCAAGAGCAGTCATGACGATGGGACCAATGATCCAGTTTACGAAAATGGATATAGCAATTTGTAGCCATACCTGCTTCTTTGATAATATGATATGAAGCTGCTCATATTTCACCTTGCAGAGAACAGGATACATCATGATAAGTAAACCTATGGCAATAGGCACCGATACTGAACCAAATTGGACTGTTTCAAATGACTCTTGTACATTAGGAACATAATAGCCAATGACAACACCAATTATCATTGCAAGCAATATCCATAATACCAAGAATCTATCTAATAGATTTAATTTCTTTATAGGCGCTATTGCAAAGATAAGATTAGATTTCATGATTTATCTCTTTTCGTTGTAATTTTACATAATTCGACCTGTTCATTGTTTAATGAATCATGATTTTCTATAACATCCTTTTCTTCAAAAGGACTTGACATGAAAAATATTTTAAAGAAAGAAAAAGAAACAGATAAGTATAGTTTGCCCTGTCATTTACACGGTTTGATCTTGTTACACACAAAGAACTGGGTTTGAAATGAATGAGTAATTACAATTTTCAAGGTAAATGGCACTTTTTTTTCTCTTATTGAATATGAGACAAAAATTAAGGAGATAATTCAAGGCTTTTTATATGCAATCATATTTAATAAAGAAAGCCTAATCAATTTGTTCAAGAATCCAGTATATATTCAGCAACTACTTGAATAATGATCGATTCATAAAGTGGACAAGAGCCTATCAACCAGATGGATATACAAATAACTATGTTGAAAGCTGGTACTATCAGATCAAGACTAGTTATCTACAAAGTAGAAGAGTTAACAGACTCGTATTGTCGTAGACCAATGTTTAATTCTAACTGACACTGAAATAAGTGACAATGATCAATATGGAATAAGATCATGTAGAATATGAATAAATTATTACTACTTCTGTATATAAAAGAATAGACGTCCCTAATAGACGGTTCTTCTTACGGTAAAAGAAAGAAGATGACTCGAATTAGTAAATGTACAATGTAATTAGTACTGGAAATGAATTAGAAATTTTCTTTATCAATCAATTCATGACAGGTTTAAATACTTGAGGCTATGCATGGATATAGAATGGGATAATGATATTTTTCATTATAGGAAATTTTTGGCTGTGGAATTTCAATTAATTTTTTACTGGCCTACCACTACGCATTTACTGGCCTACAGCCGCTAAAAATTTCGTAGTCCATAATGAGCATCCTTAATTATGGCCAACAGATTTTTTTGTGGCTGTAGGCCAGTAAATGCGCAGTGGTAGGCCAGTAAAACAGAAAATGAAGATGTTGCGTTCATTCGCCCAATTCATTCTATTCTTTATATTCTATTGGTTAGAACGTACTCCCATTCTGCCATATCATTCGCTCATAATCATAGCTTTAGTAGTATTAAATACATGCTTCCTTCAAATAATCCATTATAACTTTGGCTTTATAGTATATTTATTCATTTAGTATCAAGACAAAACAAAACAAAACAAAACAAAAAGAAAAAGAAAAGGGAAGAAAGGCATAAACAAGGTCAATTTATCTACATTCTTATTGACCTTCGTAATCTTCGTCTTCTTCTTCCGTAGTAATAGTTCGTCGCTGTTTTCTTGAAGAATTTGACTTGCCTATAAAGATGAGTTTAGCTGGTTTTGCTTTTCAATAGAAAATATAGTAAATTACCTTTATCACCAAGTCTTTTTCCGAGCAGATGCCTCTGAGGACCATCGACGGTGAGCTCAGTGCTTGCATCAAAGTCAAACGTGAACTCTTCGTCTACAACTGATTGACTATATAAAAGCATGTTAGTGAATATTTAACATATATAACAACAAATGTCTCTAATACCTACCTCGTCGTTTCAGAGATCGCTAGTCTTGATTCATTTGATGAGTCTTGGACTGCCTCAGCTATATCATCGCCTAAGAAAGGTTAATATTAGTAAGATAAGTTATGTGCAAAAACTTGTCTACGACTATACCTTTGCCAGCACCACTGGTAGCCTGCTTCTTGTTTCTTCGACGGATAGAAGACCGATAGTAATCGAGGAGCATTTTGCTCCCCAAGAACCAACACAAGCACGAAGAGGAATATAGGGTGATGCCTTAGCTTCCAGCTCTTGAATGGCGTCAAACCGAGCATCGCCAGGGACACTCTGCCAGGTGCTGTCTTCGTTGATAGCAAGTTTTTTCTATGCCATCAATGACAGTCTTGACAAGGACTAGTGATACATTCACCTTGAAAGCATCAAGTATCCCATCGCCAATGCTCTCGTGCTCAGAGCCACGTACATCATCTATGAGCCTTTGAAAATGCTTCCAGGAAAAGGGAGCAACGCGATCTTTTCGACCGGAGCGTTTATCCTTGATTCTTGGCTCGGGGATGTTGCGGTTAGGAAACAGGTTACCTGCCAAAAGCCCAATGGTGGCAGCAGCCTCAGCAGATTCTTCGGCATTTGGCATGCTATCCAACGAGGCTTTTAGTGTACCTACTTCTTCTGCGAGCACAGTAACTTGCTGCTTAAGAAGAGCTACTTCTTCCTTCAAACTCTTGTTTTCTTGCAGCATCACTTCAAAATTGCTGCGCATGTCGGTAAATCTATAGTTAACACTAGTAGTCAACTGTTGAATCATAAAGGTAACATTTTCCAAAGTAGGCTTAGATGTAGTAGAGGTGGGGAACATTTTAAAATTTTAAAGAAAAAGAAGACTAATTAAAATAAATTCATCGTTCCAAGCGGTGTATGTTCGTGTTTTCTGTCATGAGACCAAAAGATATACCCCCTTTCATTCATTCCTACTCTTTTTCCGCATAAAGCCACAATAAACTTCACGCTTACGACTTTGAGTTTAGGCTTGATAAATGGAGCTTTGTAGGGCCATATATATCCTCTTTCACGATTGACTGGGAATACGTTAACCAAAACTAAGAGTCTGGAGTCATCATTTGCTGAATTATACTTGAAGTAAGCTAGTAGCTAGTCCTTCCTAAAATAAATTTAAAGCCTAGCAATACCGATTACTTAATTAGACTTTTACTGGACAATCACTGCGCATTTACTGGACATTGAATAATTTCGAGGGAAATTTTCCCATAATGGTAAAAGGGTATTTGTATTCAATGATTTGAAAGTTTACTGCATAGCTTGTATCTACTTGCTTGATGAATTTGCTCGTGGTTGATTATGATTCTAACTATTCTGTTTTCTACATTCTTAATAACACCATGTTGCCTAAGAGGTCATCGTCGGAGATCTGACTAGTGGATTTATTCTTTGGTGTACTAATTCTATTGTTGATTACAATAACATGCTTGCGCTGGCTTGTCTTGTCTTCTTGTCAACAGTCTCAGAGAAAGAAAGGAAATGAATGTATTAATAAATCTATCCTAGTGTCGCTTTAACTCTATCAAAAACTTGGGTATCTTCACCATTATACAATGATTCAGAAAATTCTGATACGTTACTGCCTTGAGGCTCAAGCGACAACGCTCTCTTGCCAATAAGTACACCGACCATCGATAAATGCTCATGTATTAACCATAAATTTTGCTTTAAAATGCTTATCATAGAATGCGTTGCCACGCCACGTAATCTGGGCCTGTTTCTATATCAGTAGACTAAAGAAAAGGAGAAATAAAGTTATTGATGAGTTTGCTTTGATGCTGCTTTAGCACTAGCAAGTACGTAGCTACCTTTATCAGCAAGCAGTAATTTAGAGAGTCCCAACAAAACATTATTTACAGACTCATGTAGCAACACCATTGTGCCTAGAAGCATACTTTGTCGCTCAGCAGAGAGAACTCAAATAGTCAACAAAGTCCCGTGTTTTAATGTCTAAAAAAGAAAAGAAAAGCCAAAACTATACTATTTATCAAGGTGTACACTACCCGCACGAGGAAATCTACGAAAGGGTTAATGTTACAAGCACTACCTGTGATGTTGTCAGCAAATCTTTTCAGTGTATGGCACCAAGCTAAGCTTGTTCAGGAACAGACATCTTTCCATGTTCCTTGGTATAAAATATGACTTTTATAAAGTTTCAAAAAGAAAGAGATAAAATGTGGCTATTGCTGTACTTTATTTTATGTTGTCAGCTCTGTCAATAAAGAACCAAGGTCATTCAAGAGTAATTTTATATCAAAGGATATCTCAACCGAATACCCTCAGGTTAGGTATGCACTATACCTTCTCAAAAAAAAAAAAAAAACTTGCAAGCAAAGGATCATACACTTAATAAAGAAGATTCACTTCTTAAACTTGCGTTAATACTAATCTTTTTATTCTGACCCTGTCTATTTTTCGAACTTATGACATAATTCTTGTGATATTGCACTACACCTCCTTTGAATCTTGGTATCTGTTACTTTTTTTTTTTTGAAATACTAATAACATTAGCTAATAAAAGCTTTTACTCTTTTTTAAAATCTTTTCTTGAGACGGTGAAGTCTCTGGTCCATCTTCTTTCTCTGACTCTTCTCAATATTGAGTAAGCCATTCTGAGCCTTAGATGTTACTATTGTGTTGTGCGTATTACTTTCTTGAATAATAGTATACGTGTTTCTACCGATATCTTTGATAACCCAAGCAATATAGACAGCAAACAGCACAGTAGTTCCAAATTGTGATATGTCGCTTGATAGATGGTAGTTTCTTGACTTTTGGATCCTGGTGATATACTTTGTTGAGCGATCTGCCCGTATAACAGAGGACTGTAGTCCAGAATGAATGAAACAGATGGTCTGTAATTTCTTATTGTCATCACATTTGAGCAAAATATTGTCAAGCATGTCCTTGAGACACTTTGACAGCTTAACAAAACCCTCTTCAAGACGTTTTGTAGCCTGGTCTCCATCATATGCTTTTCCAGCCTTCGAGGCACCGTATTCTTCTACTTCGTTATGACTGCAGGATTTCTTGGCAAAGACCATATCGCACCCACCACATCCTCCGTCTCTGTTTCGCCAACTAGGCCATTGTGGGTCGTTCCTTCCACAGTTGCTGTGTGGCTCACTCCGACCTCGGATGTGGTTTTCTTTTCAGTAGCTTCTAAAATTCGCTTACTTATCCTTTGTCCTTGCCGTCTTCTGCTAGCTGGCCTTAAGTAATACTTCTCAAACGTGTCTGCATTTAAACTCCAATTTGCATGGATCTTTACTTCTTGAATGGAAGCACCTTGCTGTACTGCGTATGTGCTTGCTGCTGCTCTGATTGAATGTGCTGTAAACTTATCAGGGTCGATACCCGTGATGGTTAAGCTTTTGCTGATTCATTGAACCACTGTCTTGTCCTTGATTGAAGAACTTTTCGAAAAATCGTCATCCTCAATATAGGTGAGGAACAAGGTGTGATTGCTAGATAGATGAGCTCTTCTGCCCTTAGTACATTCAACAAAATACCAAAAAATCTTCACCGGGCAAACGATTTCCTCGTCAATGCCTTCGAACTTAGATTGTTTTGGAGTGATTTCTTTGGGATTCCTGGCTAATAGCATGACACCAACTATCTTCTGCTCATTGTCCATCTCAAATTGGACATCCTCATATTGTAATCTGCCTAGGTCAGATCTTTGTCGCCACATGGTCACCATAGCTAAGAGTAAAACTGTCTTTTCTTGTAACCTCTTTAAGGCTCCTCGTTGGTCTCCAAGGCCTTATCATGTCGATTATAGGCGTCAGACTGTACACCTCCTTCGTATAGTTGGGTCGATTCTCCTTTTTGTCTGGAAAAACTGTTGAATCTTTTCATGAGATGCTTGTTATGTAATGGTTTAAATGACACAAGGCAAAGACAAAAGAAGTACTCTTTGAGACTAATCTTTATTCTGAGATAAAGACAGAAGGAACATACAATTAAAATAAAGGACCTACAATTTATAGTTGCTATCAAATGGCCAGTAAGCCACTATTCTAAGCGTGGATTATAACTATTAGCGGTTCCTGAGTTCACAAAGAAAGCTTTTAATTCATTCCTGACACTGATCTTATTGTTCATTTCATGATCTGGGTTATGATACTGCTTTTACCGTGAGAAGGATGATCTTTTAAAGAAGTGTATCCTTTTATATAAAGAAGTAATGATTCATATTCAAAGGAGAGATTCTATTTAATTCGACTTATCACTAAAAGCGTGTACACGTAACCTTATAATGTATGAATTCACTCTATTCATACTGATTACAATTGTTTATCTCAATGTCAGTCCTAAGCAGATATTGTTCTACAACAATGCTAAGGATGGTTTGTCGGAATGTAATACTCGAAATACAGATGCTATTGCTGATCTAATACCGTTGAGATGCTGATATGAAAATTGTTTGTTCTGAACTAGGTACTCTACCACTATGCCAGGATTGTATGTGGTAGGATCTATTCTTGGTACTTGTCTTACACACCACTCTGCCCATTTTCTCCATTGAATATCATAGTTGTTGTGCGTGCTGATCTTGTTCGAATGTGATAGAAAGTCACTTACACTACCTGACATCCTTGCCTTTTTCTGTTGATGTGCCCTGATAATCTCCAAGCGGTTAAACACCAAGTCTTGTTAGTTAGCATCTTGATCGGGCCATCTAAGCATTGACGAAGCATAACTGGCCACCAGAACTGTGTCTGCCAAGCTGGGGCCACCGTCACCGCCGTCTTCACCTTGTCTTCTTGTAGCTTTCTCAATACCTGTGGAATCAACTTCCACGGAGGGTGCAAGTAGAGGCTCTTCTGAGGCCACCTCTGTTTGAAGGCGTCGATAGCCTGGGCAGGCGGATCGGGCATTCGGCTCCAGTAACGTGATAGGCGGGTGCTTTCCCTTGACGCAAAGGCATCCAGGCCCATCTTCCATCTCTGTTGAAGCATTTTGAAAAAGCGTTTCGGCAGAGTCTATTTGTAAAGAGGCTTCTGTTGTCTGCTTAAATTGTCCGCTTCTATGTTTTGTACTCCTGACATGTGAAAGTACCTTACCTGAAGACAGTGCTCTATTATAAGCTGTTGTATCTCCAACGTCAATGATTGTAGCAAGGCTGATGCTGTCCCGCCCGACTTCTTTGCATGCTTTAGAGCGGTCATGTTATCGGCGTAAATATGAAATAGCTCGCCTTGGTTTCTTCCTGCGTGCATTTGAATCGCAAACAGAGCTGTCTTCAACTCTCTTGCATTGATTGAAGTTTCTCTTTCTTCCTGGGAACAGAATCCATTTGTTCGTATTTGATTTGATGCTACTTCCCAACCTGTGTCTGAGGCGTCCACATATATCTCCACTTTCGACTCCTTGTCGTTTTGTGTTGACCGTATGGGCAGATCATTCTTTAACGTTGCCTTCTCTATCCACCAGTTCAACTCGTTCCATACCTGTGTCGATATCTCGCAGCTCTTCTCCCAGTTGTATCCTTGAATCTTCAATGATCGGGTCAGATCTCTCTGCAGGAACCGTACTCTGAGTAGTGCTTCCTCCATTGTCGGTATCATAGCTGTGATCTTCCCCAATAAGCTCGCTATCCATCTGCACGAGAATTTCCTTGTCGCATTTTTCAGTTGACGAACTCGGCTCACTAGTTTGGAAATATTCTTTGGTGGCACACGAATTTTCATCTTGTGGCCGTTGAACGTGAATCCGAGGAAATCCTGCGACTGCTTGGGTTCCAAGTTGCTCTTCTTGTAGTTAATGATAAACTCTAGGCACTGCGTGTAAGGTTGTCTAATAGAATATTCTTTGATGTAAGGTATACATTTATCATAATTATACGTGAGTGATATTGATTCTTTGTTGACCAAACTGACAACATAAAATTAGAATGAAGGAATAGCGACATTTCTTTCTTCTTGAAAAGAAACGCAAACCACGACGGTAACTTTATAAAGTCATGTTTAACGTGGTGCCATATATTGAAAGATTTTGTTGGACTATATCATAGGTAGTGAGTAAAGGTAATGCCCGTAGCATTAGCTTATTTTCTGGCGTGTTTCTGGTGCATGTAGTGTTTCCCTAAAATTTAACCTGCATTTCATAAATAGGTGTTCAAACCAAAATTGTTTAAAGACCCCACAGTCCAGTGCCAGCATTCGGAGACTTTGGAACCGAAGCCTTGCTGCTGTGCTCAATTTTCGATGTAGTTTGTTTTCACTTAGAGAAACAAGTGGACGACTTGAAAGATTTACGTGCAGTAGACAAGATAGTAGTAGTAAAAGAAAAGGTTCATGCAAAGAAAACAGTCGAACAGAAAGAGTCAAATAACAGTCCTCCTTGGTTACTGCTGAGGATGCACATAGTGCAGAAATCATGTCCACAGAAATAAAAACTTAAAGCGCCTAGCTTTACTGTTGAATGCATTCCTATAATTTTTTAAACCGTCTAATTTTAAACTAAAGAACTGTACAATCATGTTTATTAAAGGGAAAAGAAGATAGGCTATTGAGGGGGTATTTATCTAAAAGATTCATTGTTTTAGTCGACGTTCTTTTCTTTTGCCACTATTTGTTTTATGAACAGACCTTCTTCCTTCTTCATCCATCAATTCATTTAAACTATCTCTTCTTATTCTATGTTCAAATGAAGGTGAATTGGATCCAGAGCTATATGAAGATCCAGAAGATGATATCCATGATCGTCTGTTGTCATGTACAATCACTTCATCGGGTAACACGCCTCCAACTCCAAATGTAACGGATGATTTGGGTCTGATCGAGGTCACGACAGTTTCATAAGTGGGTGACTGGACAAGAAGGGATCTACGTTTAGCACGATATTCTGAGGGTCGCATCGTCTTTTCATGATGTGTAGCATGTTCTTGTTCTACAATAGGCGAACGCTGTGCTATCACGTCAATAGGCGAGAATACAGGGGGAGAGCTGAGTATAGGGGTATGTGTGGTAATAGTCATTGGCTGCTGCTGTTCCTGCATTCTTTCTGTCTGTGCGCTGCTTAATTCGAGGTACTCATACTGCTCTAGTATTGCATTCTTGGACTTTAATCGTCTATAAATAGTACACAGACCAAATATGTAAGATAACCACAGAAAAGCAAACGCCAAGGTGATATTGATATAAAGTGATGGATCCTTGATATAGTATTGCATATAACCGAGCCATCCTGTATTTGCGCCCATGAATAATATACCCGCTGATATTGACAGAATTGACGCTAAGAGACCGCTGACAAGGGTAATAGAAGCAAATATCGATCTGTGTTTACACCTTTTCTGTTTGCTATTATCCAAATTCAAATCATCGTCTTCTATATCCAACACTTCTTCATCCTGTATCAAATGATGCTCGCGTAGCATACTTCGAGGCAAATTTTCTGTCGGTGATTTGCGGAATATGATTTGAATGAGGCGAGTCATCGATCCAACGATTAATATGTATCCCAACATGGTATGTACTTTAGCTATATAGGTGTCTTTTTCTATCTGCTTCAACCCTGAAATGATGGCTAGTGTATATTGAGCATAGATATTCTTGATCCTTATATTTTATTACCTCTTCCAGTTAAACAAATGATCAGACTATTGACAATATTCCTTTCGCGAACTGCTGGTATCCAGGCCTGAACACTTAGACTGATGGAGAATAGGCCTCCTGTAAACCAAAGCAAGCCGAGGTTGATAGCCTTCCATTCCGTTCCTAGTATGTTTGTATCTATGCAATATTTAGTACTCCGTCCAGATGACTGTTTGAGCGTAGTACCTGACAAAATTAGAGAAATTAACCCCCATAATGTGATGATCACACTTTCATAATATTCTGGAGTAGCTGGTCGCGGTAATTTAATGATTGCCAATAAATGCAATAAAGTAAATGAGCCGTACATCAAGAATCCTATTCCCATGGCTAAAGGCATAAAGCACTGTGATCCCATGTCGTTCTGGCAACTGTCCGTAAATACAACCGCGGAGATCACTAAATAACAAAATGCGACTATCAAAGCAGCCCAACCCAAGATGAGATCAACCCATTTTGTTGGTTTAATCAAAAAATGAAATATACATTGTGTGATGACAAGGCACAAAAGTATGAATCCAAAAATATGTAACACGAGTGATGCAGTGTCTTGTTTTGTTTGAATGAAATATCCAGTAATAAATCCAATAGTGCAAAATATACAGGATAGACCAATGATGGCTACTTTTCGTTTACGTAATTGTCGTGTTAGTAACAGAGGATAACAACCGAGAAATGCAATAACCATAGAAACTAAATGCGTGATAACAATAGGTTGTTTGAATAATGCATGCGTTGAGAAAGAATGAATAGAAGTGTCCATCCGTTTGAAAATGTTAGTATTTCAACATACAGAAACAAAGAAAGAAAGAAGAGAAAAAAGGAAAAAAGAAAGAGAGAAAAAGGTACACCAGAATGTGGAGTTTGTAAAAAAAAATCACTTTATTTTTATTTCTAACCAATAACAAGTTTACCATCCTGGAAGTTGTACTCTACACCATTGTTTAGTTTACATACTTTTCATAATGAACCGTAACTTACCGGGAACTTCGAGGTTAAGAGGTGCAGGGCCTTTACGGATACGTCCAGAGATGTCATAGTGAGAGCCGTGACAAGGACAGTACCATCCACCATAGTCACCTGCTTCACCAATAGGAACACAACCCCTACAGAATACATCATTTAATAACTATTCATGCATTTGTTTCCGACTCTATAGAAAATTCTTACAAGTGAGTACAGACACCCAACATGACAAGCCATTTGGGATCCTTAACACGCTCAGCATCTTGCTGAGGATCACGCAATTCAGTAATGTTGACTTGGTTGGCTTCAGCAATTTCAGATTCGGTACGGTGACGAATGAAAACTGGCTTTCCTCTCCACTTAATTGTCACATTCTTTCCTTCAGGAATAGTGGCCAAGTCAACTTCGGCCTTAGCCATAGCCAAGACATCAGCAGAAGCAGACATGTTGGCCAAGAAGTCACTGACAGTAGCTTGAGCACCAGCAGCAGAAACCAAACCAGTGGCACCGACCATCATGTAAGCATAGTTACGGCTGGCTTCACCGCTATGCTTAGTCTTTTTGTACTTGGAGAAGTCGGGCACAGTAGTGGTGCTGTAACGGCGTGCTTGGAAGTTGTTGAAGGGACCCACTGCGGGCAAGAAAAAAAGTTAATAATTAAACTCTAATTTCCAATTTGGAAGGACATGTTACCGTTGACATTGGACTTGTTGACTAAACCTCCAGTAGATCGTTGCTTTGTGGAAGTAGTTAACAAGGGTTGAGAACTGTGGGCTTCATGGTGTTCTTCTTCAGTGTTTGAAGTGACATGGAATATTCTCTTCACTGCATTTGAAGTAGCAGGTGCATTGACATATGAGCGATTGACGATGGCAGACGCAAATGAGCGTGATAAGGAAGCCATTGAAAATAGAGTGGGGAGATGTAGTATAGAGAGAAAGAAAAAAAAAGAGGTCCAATAAGCGGGGATTTGACCCCTCTCATTTCGACAAATTTTCCTTACTGATTTTTTTTGGCCATGAACCACGTCACATTTTTTTGAATGAGTGCCCTTCTTTCATAACAAGTGTGATTAGAAAAGAAAATGTAAAAGCGGTTTCATGCTTTTGATATTGAAGGGAAAAGGAAGCATAATATTAAAAGATAAAGTGAACATTCCTGTTAACTGTTGTCATTTATATAAATGAAGCAGTTTCTGAATCTTGCTTGAAATTCAAGTACTTTGTAAGTTATCGAATTGAATGTGTATGTGAGAGAGAGAGAGAGACAATATTGTATAAGCGATTACTTTATAAACATGATTTGGCTGTTTTTTACAGCTGATTAACTTCATAAGCAGTAATAGCTCATACTCAATTAGACTTGTAGTCTAAGTCAAGAGAAAAGGACTCTTGGGTCAAACAAAAGAACAAAGAGAAGATAATATAAGGATTTTGTAAAGACAATAAAGAAAACACGATTTTTAGAGCATAGCTGTATGCTTTTAGAAGGAATCCAAGCAGGTAATGAAACCGAAAGTCAATATGCAGCAAGAGAATAAAAAGTCAAAGCGCGCATTTGCCCAAATTTGTGGGCATATATGTGCGAATAGACTATATTTGACGGCCATGTAACTCCGTTTGTATGCAATAAAGAAATGATTACGAAAACGGAACAACCAATTCTAAATTTAATTTTGTGCATCAAAGAATAAAGTCTTTATTCGTTAAAGAAGATAGAAAGCCTTTTGTTGCCTACAAGCAATACACTACAATTACATGTTTAGATCAGCTATATACGCTCACGCTCACACAGCTATTTAATGGAGTACATAATCTCGCGAGTGGAGTGAAACTAAGTTGAATTTGGCTTGAAAAAACGTGTGCTACAGAGCAGCTACACTCACAATAAATTGTTTCAATCTCCTTCTTACTCCCTGACAGCTTTAATGATTTGCTTCATCTTTTTATAGGCAACTTTTATTCCCATTTTCATTCTTTCTTTCTTTTTTTCTCTTTCTATTGTTCTTTTTGCCTTCATTATGCGCATACGAAACTCTACATTACTGGTTTATTTGTTATCAACGACCCTAGTTACTTGCTTACCTGCTCCGTCTGCAAAACCAATCCATTTACCTCTCCAGCTTGTCAAGTCAAAGTCTATTTACAAGCGTTCTGAAAGATTGGAATTGCCTATCCTAGACGATTTGGATATAAGCGAAATAGGCATTACTGTGCAAATTGGCACACCTGCTCAAGAATTTACTCTCCTATTCGACACAGGAAGTGCAGACACCTGGGTACCCTCCACCAGATGCACCGAGCTTACTGGATGCCCTGATGTATTACATCATTACGACCCTGCAAACTCTACCACATATCAACCGTTGACAGATAGACTTGATATCACATACAGTATCGGTAGTGCAGCAGGAAATTACTTCACGGACGTTGTGTCACTGGGTGTCGGTTATACAATCGCGGCACAAACGATGGCTATGGTAGATTCTGCAGTCGGCGCTATATCTACTCAGAAAAACACCAGCAATATCATCCTCGACGGCATTCTTGGTGCAGGTCTTCCTGGAGGCACTGTACGATACTTACAAGGCGGAAGATCGTATGACCCAGTTCCTGTATCACTTTATAAAGCTGGATTGATCCCCAAGCCAATGTTTTCTATTGCGATTGGTGAGCAAGCTGCTGGAAAAGTCGTTTTTGGAGACATCATTACGGAGCAAACCAACGGCGCTTTTGTCTACACGAACCTTGTCACCTTTGCAGGTATTCTGAACACACCTCGATGGATGGTGAACACTTGGGGCTTCGAGTTTCAAAACAAGACTTCATCTCGCAACTTTAAGTTTAATCAAAGGACTCCAGTCAGCATTGATACAGGTTCAAATCTTATGTACCTACCAGCGCCTTTAGCTAAAGATTTAGCCAACACGATCACATCTGGTCATTTCCAAACCATCTCTGGTCTCTTCCACATTGACTGTCAATACCAGGAAAGCACTGATGTACTAAAGACTTATTTCCCGGGCACGAATGGTAGAAATGTATACATCTCTATTCCTATTTCCAAGCTTGTAGGAAAACGTGAAAGCGACGGAAAGTGCTTCTTTTTGTTCTCTCCTGCCAACGATAAATTTATCCTTGGTAACATGTTCCTTCGCCATTTTGTTGTTGTTTATGATTTTGGAAATAGCCCTCAAATTGGATTTGCTCCTCTTCTAGAAGGTGATCAACAATCTATCCTTCCAGATTCATCTTAGTATATTCCATTAGAAACAACAAGATTATTTGTATTTTTAATCTAAATAAATATCTATTTAGGAGGAAACAAAATAGAACTAATCAAAGACAATTCTTCCTCCCTTAATCCACGCTCTCCTATTCAATGTAAAAAAAAAAAAAAAAAAAAAAAAAAAAAAAAAAACTATCCAAGACATAAATTAAATAATGCCATGTGTTCCTCGTCTAATTAAACAATGGATTGTGGTTCGTTTAATTAGGAACATTGTTCATATTGAAGTATATGGAGTTTTCTTTATTTCTAGTTGCCATTGAAGCGCTGTCGCTTTAACGAAGCTAAACGCTGATATTCTTCAGACACTGGGACTGTTGGATCCAAATCTTGAATATTCGTGATTTCTTTAAGGCACTTTCGGAATGCCTTTTGAACAGCCTGCATCTTTTGTGGGTTTCGCGTAAATACTCTTATGTTGACGTCTTGAAACTTGGACGGAATCATATAAGAGACTTTTTGCTTTGAGATATTAAATGATTCTACACATTGGGAGCAAATCGTTATTACGGTATATATATTAACATTTATGCATACCATTTTCGTTAAACTTGGAGAAGAACCGAATAGAGTCAACAGGATTATTATCGTTCATTGCATAGTTGATCTTCGTAAAGCGTACAATGACATCGTCTTCAACTAAACCTGCATTGTCGGATTGATAGTTTACAATATTTTGTGCATTAATCACATTCTGATATAAATAAGTATATTGTGTTTTTTAAAGCAGGATAAACCGTACTAACCTGGTTTAAATGGCCTTCTAACTCGGGAGGCACAAGAAATTCATCTACAAATTTGTACAATTCTCTCTTTCTTATTCTCTTTATAATTCCACGCGCCTTTTCTAGCTCAGGACATTTTGAACTCTCTATAGTATGTACAATGTTATCTGTCAGATAAAGATAGTCCTCTGGGTTATCGACCATGTCAGCTATTTTCAAGTAGTCATCTACATAGATACAAGTAGTATTAATACATTGGTATTTGTAAATAATATTATATATCTTACTGGCTGCTAAAAATGCATCTACAATCATTAGCTCTATGGCTGTTCCCACTCGATGAGTGTAAATCTGTTTAAATAGACTGTAACGTGTGTGGAACATTTCATACAAGTTGTAGACCTCTTTGTGATGATAGCATATTTCATTATTAATGACTCGACTATAGACAAGCAATCTATTGGCATCATAAGAACTTCGAAGACCTAAGTTGTAAGAATCTCTTTCGATGTAATCAAACTTGTCAACATCTACGCTATTCTTTTTGTTTGCTACAATGTCAAACAAGAACTGACGCTCCCTATATTTACTATATCTCTTATTACTAATAGTTCCCTTCTTTAAGTCTCTAGGATCTACCTCTGTGATCGGGTTTCGCCTGCAATCAATTCTTTTATGAAATTGACTTCATCTTTTTCAATGTCGATATGATTATCATCAATCAAGTATTCCAGCATTCGCTCTGATCCCTGTTCATGCGTCCACTTTTGACCGGGCCTATTCAGATAGGGATTTGATATTTTGTATCATCTCTTGCTATGTATCGCTTACCTTGCTAAAGGCATAAATGTATTATCAAAAACATGAGAGAATGGGCCATGGCCTATGACAACGGATCAGCACTGCTGTGAATCAAGAATTATAATTAGCTTACCAAGATCATGACACAGTCTATGTATCCCATAAAAGCCATTTTAGTATTCAATTGACAACTCACGCAAGTTTAAACTTACCCTGCTAGTTTAACACACTTGATTTCATCATTTGTAATCTCCAATTCAGGTTGCTCTCTTGCAAATCTTTCTACAAGTGTACCAGCAAGGTGGGATACACCTAATGAAGATCATCAGTGACTGTCCATTGTGATGACTGTAATATATCGACGAGTTTACCGATTGAATGCTCAAATCTATTATGACTTCCCCCGGGAAATACGTAATAGAGTACGCCCAACTGATGATACAATCAATAAAAAAATTCAATAAGTACATGTGTTTACATACCTGCTTCAGGTCTCTTAGTCGCTGAAATTGTAAAGTATCGATAAACTCGACTGTATAGTTATCTAAAAGTATATGCCCCTATATTTTCGTTTGTAAAGATGATTGACAATTTGCCTAGTTTTCTCGGTATTTACATGAATAGGATCATTAATAACTTTATGTCCATGAAAGAAGGACTTTGGCTCTTGAAACTTATTAGCGTTTTCAAAGGTATTTACAATATTATTTATTGACATTGTGAAGCGATTTGAAGAAAGAAGAAGAAAAATTTAATGAAACAATAAGCTAATATAATGAGGCTGGGTTTCAATTAAATTACACCTAAAACGTCAGTGCACGGCTGTATGCATTAATTTATTTGAATAATCGCCTAACAACAAATGCAGAACGGATCCAACGGCTGTCTATGACAATGAAAAATCAATATTATCTAGCACATCCATAACGATCTGAACAAATTTGATAGCTGTGCTGTCCTGCTTAAATGGCATTGACTTTAAGCCTTTCATTTCAGCAACGTTCTTGTTTTCTTGTTCCCTGCTTAAGATCAAAGTCTGCCTCTTTCTACTGTTGAATAAGAGTGCATCGTAATTCCAAGGTTATAAAGGCAGTGTATTTTGAGTTTACATTTCAAATTTTGATGTTTGTGAAGCAAGCTGGCTGCTATATTTGAACTAATGGAACATCGACACAACAACTATCTCATGGTTTCAATCTCAGATATCTTGTCGCTTACATTCCCTTACACATCGTTCTTTAAGCCTTTTTGCTATCACAATTTCCAAATACATAATAATACTGTATTTCTATTAATTATTGACGTTAATTTTATAAAATATTGTCGTAAAATAAAAGAATTATTTACGTAAAAAGACGACAAAGAAAAATATGTTTGAATAAAACGACATGTCAAAACAGAGAGATAATGAGTATATGTAGAAAAAGAGAGAGAAAGTATGTTAGTATTAGAGCATATATCCTAATATTAGTTTTACTTACCACCAAGGTGCATTCTGGGGAGGGTAGCGATAACTACCCAGGAAAGTTTAAACAAAAAAAAAAAAGGAACGGAGGACACAGAGAACCCAGGGCATCAGAAGAGACTATTGGGGAACGTTCCAGATACATACCAGAGAGCAAAGAGGGCGGGACAAGCGAGTCAGAGCAAGGACCATGAGGATAGGCTAGTTTTGATTGGTGAATCTTTGAACACTCAGAGGGACACTTGATAACTGCTGTAAAGAAGCAAAAAAAGGATTCAATTAAAATGGGTTTTTATATGTTTTTCTTTTTCAAATAAGTTTCAGGATTGGATACTTAGGACAAAGAAATCATGTCAAATAGAAGCAATCTGCTTCGTGACCATTCAAGAATATGCACTGCCAAATATGACTACATGTTCTTCTGGTTTTATGGAAAAACCGAGTAAAGAATTTAAACTTTTACAAGGAGACTAAAGAGGGCGATTTCTAATATTAGGTTAGTTTCAACTCCAAGGCAGCCCACCTGTTAATATTACTGTCAAATGGAATAGTGAGCCATATTCTTTTTGTATTTGCTATTACTCTGATAACATTACAACGGTTTCAATACGACATCTAAATTTGGAAATACAGTATATCCATGGACGTCAAAGCTGGCACTACGAAGATATTCTTGGCGACGACGAATTTACATTTCATATAGCATGAATTTTGTTCTCACCATTGGGTGCATTTATTTTCGATCACAGGCGAATTTACTTTCCAGAAATAGTGTTAACCTAAAAAACACCAACAACATTACAAAATCCAAAAACAGTATACATTTCAGATGATTGGTAAATTCATGGAAATTGGTTCTCGAGCAACTAGTGTAGTTGTATCAGGTTCAGGAGCTAGGCGATGATGTTATTGGCTTAAGGACTGGAGAAGACATAGACACGATTTCAAGACATGCAGTTAGCACGACGCGTAGGATAATTAACAAAGCAATAATGGGAATATCTTTATCTAACTTTCTATGAAAATTAACGGCATTTTGGTAAGTATGCTGTGTCGAGTGTTATCCAAAAGCGTGATAAACTCTGGTTCATTAATAGAAGATTGGTATTGTGTTTTAATCAGCACATAGGTATACATCGTCTACAGGGCGTAAGAGTCAATGAACATTTCGCCAGGCGTGTCGTCAATTGGCTAGATTACTGAAAAAGACGATCGAAACTCTAAAAACGATATGGTCTCAACACATGGCAATAACCCTTTTGGCTTATAATCAAACGAGTGGGATACTGTTGAGCAACTTTAGAGCTCAAACTTTTTTGATGTCATTCAGTCATTTTCAACGAAATTATTACATAGATGTCAGATTCTAGTGTTGGGCAGTAGATCCATCAACGGAATCCTGATTTGGCATAGTGGAGGTTAAAATTTCTCCAGACAAATAGTGCAGAGACTTGCAAATTTGGGTTACTATCTACTACCATGATTGTGATGAGTATGTTGCTGGCTGGTAATAACTCTGAATATTTCCTGCCTAGACTTCTGTATCACTCACTTTTGAAAGAAAATACCACATCAAAAGGCATGAAAACTTCTCCAAGCATAGTAATACCAAATGCATACGCGCTTTACCCTTCTTCTTATCTAGGTATGACTCGTAGTTACAATTTCAAACGCAAAATACTGTATATAGAATGTAACAATAGGCTTCATTCTCATTATTGTTTGTAATATAGGGCTAACCCCAATTGGATTCATCCAAGCTCAATATTACAATAAATTAAGCATATTGTAATGCTTAGATAGCTTAATATTAATTAACACTCTTGGATTTATTTAATTTATTTAATTTGCTAAGGGAAGTTCATTGAGCCACTTGTTGAAAAAGTCCAATGCATTTTCTGGTTGATCAAAAGGAACCTAAGAATATTGATTAACACAAACGTTCATATAGATTAGTTAAGTCATTGGTACCATGTGACCAGCTTCAAAGATCTTGAGGAATGTGAGATTTCCGAAGCTACGGACATCACCTGCATGTTTTCCTGTAAGATCACTATACCAAGGTTCAGTTGGTGCAGCATTGTATCCTTCCTGACCGTTCCATTTCATTTCCAGACTCCAAGCTAGATTACCCACCCTTTTGTGAAATGATTTTAGTTCAAACGATACGTTGCCCCCTTGCTTGTTCAATTACCAGTTACAAATCCAATCCATGTCACCAACATACAACAAGACACGAACACCTGCCTCTAAAGTTTCTGCGACTTTAGGCGAGTAATCAAAAGAACTATAAAATTTTCCTTTTTAGTTAAAACATGCCATTTCTGTTGTTATTTTTTCGTACTTGTCACCAGTTGTACCAAATCTGTATCCAACGGAGCTGCTGCAGCTTTCATACTTTTCTACCTCAGGATCTACACCCAAATTGCTAATAACTTCTGGTTTGTTGGCGTAATCCTGAATGGCTTCAATCAAATTGTAGCACAGTCCACTGTCGCCTTCGCACTTCATACGAATATCATAAGGGTTTAATCCTGTTTGTTCAAAAGGGCCAGCTTGTCTACTTTCACAATAGAGACTAGCGGGAATACATGTCAAGGAAGTAGGGAATCTATAACAAGCGTTCATGAGAGATTCACACCGAGGATAAGTAGCTTCCATGTCCTTGCAGGTAGTTTCATTAAAGATGGGTTGATCTGCACAGCGTGTGAATATGATGACGTTTAGAGATGTTTTTTTACTTACATTTTGTATAATTTGTGCATCCATACGTTTCATATTCTTTGAATTGAATTTTGGGACTGGTCCAGCCATTGCCAATCAGCATAGATTTATAGTTGATCTTCAATAAGCCTTTCTCGGTTGCCTCCTTGTTATTGTTTATAATTTCAGATGAAATTGCAGGAAGATAGTGACCAGCTGAAAAGAAAAAACAGATAAGCAAAAAGTAAAAAAAGGTGATACACATGTAACGTTACCATATGACTCGCCAGAGATATGGAAGGGACTGTTTGCGTACTTTTTGTATTCATCCAAAAAGAGCTGTAAAAATGCGTATACATCACGAGCAGATTCTTCAGTGTTCTTCACTTTGGTCTTTCCATAACTGTAACCAACTCCAACAGGCTATTGTAAGATGAAAATGTGAGTTTATATAAAAGCTGTCAAATGTAAAAAAAAAAAAAAAAAAAAGTACCTGGTCCAAAAATACGACGTTTGCAGCGTTATTCCAACTATAAGGATTTCTGGTTGTTCCGTTACCGTCCTCATTTACCAAACATGGTCTACATGAACTATATGTTGGTAAAATAGCTTTTGACATAGTTTGATATTACCCTAATTCCATCCATAATCCCATCATGGAGGAGCAACCAGGGCCACCGTTTAACCACAAGACAAGAGGATCATTCTCTGGATCTGCTCTTGACTCAGTAAAATAGAAAAAGTAATGATCATCGGTATCGTGTTTATCGATATATCCAGAATACTTTATATAATCAGTCATAAAAGCTCATTTTCATAAGTTGCATAAAATTTTTACCTGGACGTTGTTTTCGCATGAAGATGGTTGCTTTATTCTTACAGAATATCCTGATACTTTTTGACTAGTTAATACTTTATACCCCTGAGCCTCATACATTTGTATGGTATGTATGTCTGGGGTAGCAGCCAATGAGCCAGTGACAAAGATGAAACCAGCTGTTAATAAGGATACTATCTTTTTTGAATACAGCATCTTTTTAAATTTAAAAAAAGAAGAAAAGAAAAAAAAAAAATCAAAACGAACTATTTTAAGCTGAGAAGACATTCAAGGTTATTGCCGAACCGGGTTATTTAACTTTGATAATGAATCATGGTTGCTTATCCAATTTAAATATAAAGAAAGCATTTTGGCTCTCTTTTTCTCCTCGAAAAACCATCATCTTCATCTTTGACTCGACTTGCCTTTATAGTCACTGGTAGTGCTTTTAATAAATGATATTTATTATCTTTATGCTTTATACAACAAATCAATAAAACTAGCAGCAGCATCATCGAGTATAGTCTTGTCAGGTACACTAGCAGAGGCACCATAGATGGCAGCCGTTGCGCCCGAACCTGCGGATGGATTCTTGAGTGCTTCTTTTACACATTCTTCAAGATCCTTTACAAATTGATCTGCACTGTTGACCCAAGGCAGGGTAACAGAGATATGAAGTGCTGCAGGGTTCTGAACTGCACTTATATTCCAACCACGCTCTGATAATTTATCTCCAATATCATAAATATTCAATGGTTCGTTCGCTCCAAATGCAATGACTGGACCAATTGGATTGCCCTTGACATGCAATTGTGGAATAGATTCTACACCCTTTTGGATGGCTCGGCGTGCGCCTATGATCTGCTTACATGTATCAAGATATCCGTCTTCACCCATACGCATAAGAGCAGCCCAACAACCAGCAATGAGAGCACCAGGCCTTTGAAAAAGTGTCAGCGTGACATTGTTTCCATTCAACATACTCTACTTACCTAGATCCAGCAATGCTTGGAGATGCATAAATACCACCTGTCCATTGTGAATATAAAAAGTATTGGTATTTTCTTATCTTTGCATCGCGGTACATGATAATAGAGGAACCCTTGGCAGCAAAGCCATACTTATGTGTGTCACAAGATATAGATGTAACACCCTCAACACGAAAATCAAATGGTGTCGATGGGAAGCCGGCTTTCTCGAGGAAAGGCATGATGAAACTACCAAGACAACAATCGACATGCAATCCAATATTGTGTTTCTTTGCCAATTTGCCAAGTTCAACAATATCATCAGCTATACCGTGAGGGAAATTGACAGCTGATCCAGCAATCTTGTAAAAATGAGTTAGTGACACATACGCTTTTTCTATTTTTTCTATTACCATGATAGTATTCTTGGTGATCGCTCTGGATACTTTCTTGATGTCTACCTTGAGTGTGACTGGATCAACAGGCACAGTAATCAATTTGATATTAAAATAACTAGCAGCCTTCATGAAGGCAGCATGGATTGTCACTGGCACTACCCTGAAAATCTAATTTAGTCATAAACTCGTTACGTAATATCATATCTTTACATTTCTGGGTAACGGATGCCCTTTAGGTCCTTATACATATCACGATATGTTTTACATGCCATGAGAATACTTTCTGTGCCTCCACTTGTCATAGTACCACATCCAGTCGCAGGAGCATTATATAAAGCAAGCACCATCGCGACAGATTCTGCTTCCATACGCCGAATTCCCGGGAATATCTCTGGATGTAAAGGATTTGCTACGGCAAAGATTCTATATGCCTCAGAAAGAATGCGTGTAAGGTCCTCACCTCCGTGGTAAATTGAACCAGATACTTTTCCACCTTCCCAGTCAGCTCTCTTTAACGATGATAATCTGCATGAACAAACAAAAAAAAAAAAATTAGAACTCTTTTTTGCTCTTTAACGCACATACTTTTGTAGGCTATTCATCACTTCTTCTTCGGTTAATCCTTTTGATGGAAGCTTCAGATGAATTTCACATCCAACTTCTTTAGACATGATAGAATGTTCCATTTGGGCTACCGTACGACTAAGCTCTTGATCAATCTTTGCCTTGACGCTAGGAAGTCGGCGTAGTTGTTTAAAGATAATCTAATGAAACGGTTCATTTTTGTACTTTACTATCGATTGATATAGGATTACCTTGAATATACAACTCTTGAGGTCTTGATAAGCACGGACAGGTCCAGCTACCAACACCTTATTATAGAGTTTTCCCCAATAATTTAGTAATACTAGAATAAACACAATATTTTTCAAGTGTTGAACGTAGCGATTATCCAATACATCGCTTGATATTTGTGTGAATTGAAGAAGTGCTGTCTGTTTAGAAGCTGCGTTTGCCATAAGAAATAGACTCCAATGAAAGAAAAAAAAAAAAAAAAAAAAAAAAAAAAAAGATGGTGAAAAGGGTTCAGTTAAAGCTCAACATTATTTGAAATTCCGTCAACCTTTCATCTTTGCTGCCACACAATGTTTCCATTTGCTGCTGCAAGGTCCTTTACCCTCTGAATGAATATCATAAGCGATATACCAATGATTGATATAAACGCTGCATATTACAAGCCGAGTATTATTCTCCAAGTAAAGGAGAAAACCGTTGTTGAAATAGCACAAAAAGAGTTCAAATGATCAACAAAAAGAGTTTATTACCAATGTGTTTAAAGTACATCAACATCAGATATTCTCAAGACAGTGTGGGTTTGCTTATGTTCAATAGTACGCTTGTAGTTCTTTCTTCTCTTCTTCTTTACAATTCTTATTAATTTACTTTTAGTGTGTTCAATGACTGTAGCCTTAATATCAAACACATTCTCAGGAACATAAGGTGTTCCCTTTAATGTATAATCTTTTGATCCAATTTCACGCACTTTATCCAACTTGAGAACATCGCCCACCTTGACATCGTTTAAGCGATTGACAATCACCTTGTCATTCTTTGTTACTAAAAAGGGACGTCCAGCAATATCAACGACTGCATAGTAACGTAACTGGTTACGAAGTTTTTCAAGTGCTGATGGAGTATCTGCTGTTGCTGTTTGAACCTGTCGGTAAATATCTATTATAGAAAGGGTTAAACTCGAAATGTCAAATATACAAAAGAATAAAGTAATTACTTTGTATGGGTTGTTTAACAGAAGAAGCTAATTATTGGTTATTATTGGGGAATATAACGTGCTTTGAATTCTGCCTTTACCTCTATTAGCAACTGAAGTTAATCCCTTAAAGAATGTAGTAAACATAATTACACACAAACAAGGCTATCTTGAAATTATTTTTTTTTAAAAAGTAAAGGGCACAATACAGCATGCTGTGACTTTGATTTATTATAGTCACAGGCCATTTCAACAGGATTTCGGGAAAATGAAGGCTAAATATGCTTTTATTTATTTACACTCAATATACAAAAAGAATAGATCAAGAGTCCAATGATAAACGTAGATCAGCTCACGTATGATGAACAGTAGTTAAACCAGGTGATCCAGGCATTGCTGGACGACTGAATCGAGTTTCAATAAACGTCTTCATAATACCGTTTTCCTTGTTATCGAAACGACGATATACTTCCACAATATCTTCCAATTTGAATCGATGCGTAAGTATGACAGATGGATCAAAATCACCGTTGATCATGTATTCCAAGCATTTATCCCAGTAGCTTTGAATAGGTGCCTGACCACAACCCACAAGACGGATACCTTTCTCCATAATACCACCAATCAGTAAATGATTGGTATAGGCAGCATAATCAGCAATCAAGGCAACAGTACCAAACTTCTTTGTTGCTCGGATTGCTTCATTAATGACCTCACTTGTATCTGTTTCCAAGCCAACAGCACGCTCGATCTTGTGCAAAAGTCCCTTTGAATAACGGAAACCAGCACAATCGAGAGAGCGATCCAAACCTTTAGGTTCAAGCTCGAGGATCTTAGCAGAAACATCCGTATCGACGTCAAAGTTGATGCATTCTACGCCCCAGAGATCCCTGGCCAACTGAAGACGTTCAGGTACGTTGTCCACGGCAATGATACGCCTGGCTTTGAATACCTTGCGTAGCCATTGACATGCACAGAGACCAATTGGGCCAAGACCCCACACACCAATAGCTTCTCCTTCTTTAGCGCCTGAATCGAAAACACAGTGAAAAGAGGTAGGAACGATGTCAGACAAGTAGAGAGCTTTTTCATCAGGAAGACTGTCGGGTATCTTGAGCAGATTCGTGTTTCCAAACAAGACACGGCAATATTCAGCCTGACCGCCAGAGAAGCCTCCGAGCATCTATAAAGAATGAGTACAGTGCTTTTGATATACCCAGATTTCTTACATGAGAATAACCAAGAACACCAGAGATACGATGGCCATAGAGCTTGTCCATGACTGAGCTGTTGTTTGCACAAGAACAAGAAGTGAATAATCCCTTGGTGCACCACTCACATTTACCACAAGCAATGTTGAAGGCAGCCACAACACGATCTCCAGGTCTGACCTTTGTCACATTGTGGCCAATCTTTTCGACAGTACCAATAAATTCATGACCAAGGACTTCTCCTTCCTTGAGCTGCATCAGTTCTCCATGATACAAGTGCAGATCAGATCCACAGACTATACAAGTATGTCAACAATTGTATGGCTCTTTTTTTTTATTGTGTGTTCACGTACCTGTTGTACCAGTAATTTTAACAATAACATCTTCATCATCCGTTATATCTGGCTTGGGCACTCTTCTTAATTCTACTTTGCCTTTACCAACCCAGCAACAGGCAAGCATGTCTGAATCGGAAGTTGCTTGTTTGTTCTCGTTAGCGACAGAAACGGGCACTTCGCCCATAACTTTTTGAGCAATATTTGAAGCAGCGTTTGCAGCCATGTTGATAAAAAGAAGAAGAAAAAAAACTTGCTGAATCTTTTATGGTGAGAAAATACGTTTTATACCAAGCAACACTCTCATTCTTACAAAAGCATGACGCCAATGGGAAGGGAAGAGGGGGGATTTATTTCTAGTGATTTGCTTTATTTTTCATGCAGGGTTCTCAGCTGATCATAAACCCAAGCATAAACAAATAGGAGGTGACTACAACATTTGATAATACTGAGGTAAAATATGAAACCTTTTTTTTTTACTATACTTTAAAGCGTTTTCGTTAAGGTTTTTGCTTCAACGAAAAGAAATCTGCATAATTTTAAAAAGGCATCTATGCTATCTCTTTCCTAAAGGTAAAGCCCGCACTTGCACTGCGTTTATTTTCAACGATTTTAAACGGGTCTCTTAAATAGGAATTTAACCTATTTAAAGGATAACTTGATAGTTTGCAAGGACATAATGCATGAAGTATATATATTGTGTGTGTATATATGTATGGAAGGGGAGGGGAATAATTTTATCTACAAAAAAAATGCTCACATTGCAACACGGTTAATGCTCCAACCGTTTGCCGCAGATACCAATTCTGCTTCTTGTTCATAGACTTGCAGAGTCCTGTCCACAATTCTTACTGCTGCTGCTAGAGCCATGGCATCACCTTTTATAGAAAGTGGTTTTAGACTTTTAGATCAAGATATACATGTGAGACTTTACCTTGTTGCTGTATAAAACTGATGCGGTATAAACCTCTCTTTTTTGCTGCGAGAAGCTGATATATTTCAAGTTTGAATTTTAAACATATTGACTTTGCGTCTATAAAAAAACCATTAAGTATACTTTTTGGCTGTTCTTTATCAATCACTTACTGTTCACAAGCCTCATCTCTCCTTTCCTTCGTATCCTACCATCTGGTTCTTGTCTTTCGGTGATAAATCCATCCATACGCTTTGGAAAAAAAAAAAATCAATAACACCATCTCCTTATTCTTTTTCTGATAGTTACCTCTCGTAACACCTGCGACAGTTTTCCAATAGCCTCTCTTTCATCCCTTGCCTCGCATTCTAAAGAACACACTTTGGGTTGCTTAAAATGAAATAAGCCTGGAAGCCATGATGTCCGTTTGGAATTATTACTCGTGGCAACAGTAGGACTAGCATGTTGTTGTGGCTTTACATAATGACTGGGTGGATTGAAAGAGTACCGATGTGTATGTCGATGGGTCGTGGGTGAGCTTGTTGGAGTAACGTCAAAGGCGGGAGAAAGGAAAGGTGCGGCCTGGGATGGATCTTTCCAGACGAGAGAGCTTGATTCAATGGCGGTTCGGTCAAAGACGTATTGGTGTCTCTGTAATGGGCTTGCTGGATCAATCTTGTTCCTTTGCCACAGATGCATCATACGGCTCATCTGGGAGTCTTCTGGATCATTGTTATGACGACGATGATGGCTTGGAACTCGAGGTGACAGCATATGACTGATATTATTCATGTGTTGCTGTAATTGAGGATGGAAGTAAGCCTGGACATAAGGCTGTTGTGTAATCGGTATTTGCTGTGAATAAGATGGATTTTCATGTCCAGGTGAATAAGGCGCTGTTCGAGGTGTCGTATAAAAATGACTGGGTCGACTGATGACTGGAGATTGCCTACTATTTTTTATAAAACTAGGTTTATTTCTCATGTCATCACGTATGGATCGTGTACACTAACCCTATGTTTGACGTATGCAGTTGGTTGCTATTGCTACTATTATTGGAAGCGAATTGCCAGGGACTCTTTTGTTGATAGTCTTCATACACCCTATCCGTGCGAATCACAGTTGGTTTGGGAGGCACTGGAGGAGGAGGAGCAAGCGTGGTCGTGGCGGTAGTCGTCACAGAGACACACGATGATGTTGAATCCACTGCAGATACATTGTCTGTTTCTGAAATCACAGGGCGTAATGATGTATGACTCGTCGGTCGAGACTGGGAAGGTGTAGAATGATGTTGAATTCCAGGAGACATAGGTGGCACTAATTTATCCTGTGCTAACTTTGTCATCATACCTTTCAGCCCAGGGAATGAATCCTTGCTATTAGAAAAGGCACAAATGGTGATAGGTCGACGACGACGCTTGGCAGGAGATGCAACTAATGTCATAACAAATAAGTCTTCATCAGCTTTGTTTTATCCCTATGCATACAAAACCTGAACGAATCTCATCGTCTCTCTCTATTTGCCAATAAGAGTTTGCATGCCTTTGAAGCAGCACATAGGTAACCTTTTGCATATTATATCTAGTTAAATGTTATATTGCTTTCTTGTTTCATCTTCCCCCTCTATCACACACAAACCTACTCAGAATTTAATAACGCTTCAACAATTTTGTCCGTAGACAGTTCTGCCCATAGTACTTTGAGAGTCTCAAGGATACGGTCATCAATTTCGGATACATGGGATACTGGCCTACCTATCTCGGCAGCTGTAGGAGGATCAGGTAGTGTGGTCAGATTAGGAGGGGGATCAACCGTGAACCAAGGATGAGATTGTACTTGTTTCATCTATAGAACCACGTGTGAATAAGAGGGTGCTTTGATGCATATATATTTACTGTTAGGCGCTTGCTAGGATTTATCACTAATATTCTCTGTATCAAATCTTTTGCTTCATCAGATACATGATCTGGTATTTTGTATTTCCCCATCTTGACCTTATTGAGTAATTGACGAATATTGTCATCATCAAATGGTAAATGTCCACTCAGTAGAGCATAAAGAATGATGCCACATGACCATATATCAGAAGCTGAACCATCATAAGGCACACCCTATATAAACAATTTAGATCTATACATATCTCTGTAGTCGTGTAACACTTGCATTGACAATTTCAGGGCTTGCATAATGAGGAGAACTATTTTTTCATTTAGTACACACTTTTTTCCTTTTTTTTTTTTTTTTTTGTATGCTACCCGCAGCTTGTTTCTAATAGTGAACCAGTGGGTTGTAATGAAGCCATTCCGAAATCAGCAATCTTTATATTCTTATCACGGTCAAGAAGTAGATTCTCTGGTTTTAAATCACGATGACTGAAGCAAAGTTTTGTCATTAGTCTTTTTTTTTTCTTATAGGGCTTTTTTACTGTCATAGTTACCATATTAAATGTCTGTGGCAATAGTCCAAGCCAATGATAATTTGTTGAAAATACTTTCTAGCCTCCTTTTCAGATAATCTTCCCCGAGACACTAAATATTCAAATAATTCACCACCTTGAACATACTCTAATATCAAGTATCTAAACAAAAAAAAAAAAGAAAACAGAAAGAAAGAGAGAGAGAGTTGCTTAGAAAAATAACATTTGAAAGAACAAAGTGTGTTGAATTACAAATTAGGTGAATCAGACAAGTCAATCACGTCCAGTAGACTCATTATATTCGGGTGTTTAATCAACTTCATCACCGCAATTTCCCTTTTGACAGCTTTTTCTACAGAAGCATTGGCGGCCAGATGCGATTTTGATATAATCTTGATGGCCACTTTCTCTCCTGTCACTTTATGTATACCAATCTTGACGCATCCTATCGTTGAGGCATGAATAATGTGAATAAAAACAAATATATCAATAGTACCTGAAGATCCTTTGCCTAGCGTCTTTCCTAACCAATAGTCACCCACATCTTTTCGACGTCTATTTCCAGGGGACATCATGGGAGAACTCTGCTTTTTAAATATGATTCGTCTTTGAGGTGAAGGAGATGGAATGGTATCTACAGCAGTCATCGTTTGAATTGAAGGTATAATAAAAGAAAAAGAAGAAAGGCTATGCTGAAAAAGAAGAGAGAAAAAGCGAGAAAAACGTATATAAATCAAGGGCAAAAAAATGTTTGAAAGTGGTTCAAATGATGATAATGGATCATATTTATTTCAACTTTTTGTGTATAGTTTCATGTTTATCAAAAAAAAATCGTCTTTTTTTTGTCATAAACTTCAAAGGAATGTTTATTGTGCAGAGAGAGACAGAGACAGAGAGACAATAAGACTGACGTCGGAGTGTACCGGTTATTCAATTTATCCTTTGACCAACCCCATTCATATAAATGCATTCCCCTTTTTTTTCTTACCTTTTTCTATTTGGCATATATACGATATTAATGATTGTTTGATTACTGAAATCATAAAAACAGTATCTCGTATTTATATAAAAGTCACCTTTATTAGCTTACAAAGAATATATATTTGTATATCTTGTCTCAGACAGGTATATTGTGCAACTAGGGCTGAGCTGTATTCTATCAAAGTTGATCATATTTCTTTTTTGGTTGAGTAGACATGATACCTGCAAATTGACAAAATGAAAATAGTTTAAATGCATAAACTGTAAAACTGAAATACTAATTTGTATATTAATGAATATCATGCATATAATATCGAGATCAAATAGAATCTTAACGAAAGGAGAGAGAGGATGAAAGATGTGGTCAATGCGCCTTTTTTTTTCGTAGTTCTAAAAAATACCCTTGCAGCATACGGTCCTTTTAGAAAGTAAAGTCGCATTTTTGCAGTTTTTATATTACAATTTATACGAAAAAAACGGCAAGTCAGCGCAACATCTCTTTCTGGAAATGGTGTACACTCATTCAAGGAAATAAATTCGTTCTTGGCAGAAGATAAATTCATCCAATATCGAGAGCAGAGTTCATGTTGCACGGAAAGTAAATTCGCCCTAGTTATCCTGGAACAAATTAATAATCCTTTTTCATAGATGATAATAATCAATTCGCCTAGAGTATCTTCCTGTCTGTTCCTAACCTCATTGGATCATTAAGTGTACCTGCCTTACTGGATCAGATATAAAATTTCCAAACGGAGATAACAATAGCAATTAGGGCCCAACGCTAACTGCATTTGGCCCTGAGCAATGTAATTGGATCTAGATCAAATCATACCATAACCTAGCAACGGTTGTCAAGTAAATATTATTTATCCAGTGCGCAGTACCAGGTAATATGCTCTTATTGGCGATGCCAGTTATTATGTACTAAAGAAGTGTACAAATTGAAGACAATAAAATCTAATCAAGGTTATACAGCCCTGAATGGGGATTAATGCATTGAACCTCGGGTTATGCTTAACATGACTATAGCTGCTCTATGTTTATTGCTATAATCCTTAAGTATCCGCAACACAAGAAGATTCAATCGGTTCGACGAATGGCTTACAAACTTCTCTACCAGCAATCGACGACATGGACACAACTCGCAGCCTTCATTGGAACAACGATGGCGACTCAACTTGGTAACATTTAGGCACGCTTTTGCACTCGGCACTTACTGCAGCAGCTCAACGGATACAGACGATGTGCAACATCACCTTCAACCATGCAGAATCACCTTTATCTTATCACTCCAGCAATGAAACAAGAACTCACCTGGTGGATTTCGCAGCTTCAGCATTGGAATGGCCGGCATATCCTTCAGCACACACCTGTCACTCAAGTGTTCACGGATGCGTCAATCACAGGTTGGGGAATAGTTTGTGGCAATCGTCGCTTCTCTGGGCCCTGATTCTCTCAAGAACGCCGTTTTCATATCAACTACAAGGAACTCTTAGTTGTGGATAAAGCCCTGCGGCAGGTACCACTATCACACTTGGGACACGTCCAGCTATGTATGGACAAAACGTCTGCCTTGGCATATATCAAAAAGTTTGACGGTACCCGCTCCTTCAGCCTGAACACCTTGGCAATGGACATATGGAGCTTCTTCTTTCGGAACTCCATACAATGGTCGACGCTCCATCTCGTCAGCTCACGCCTTAGAACGAATGGACCTTGCCAGAGAAGGCTTTCCTCAGGCTGGACCGCCTGTGGGGTCCTCACCACCTAGACCTATTCGCCACACACAAGAAAACTAAGATTCCGCAAGCCTTTGTGTCATGGATATACCATCCGCAAGCTCTATGGACCAACGCCTTTTCGAGGAATTGGACCACTTTCTCCGGGCGACTATACCTTGCCCTTCCATGGAACATGATACCGCCCACCTTGCAGCGGTTGACCCAGCAACCCCAACCGTTGACACTCATCACGCCCAACTGGCCTTCCGCTCCGTGGTCTTCACTGGCTCTTCAATTGGCGCACCAACCCCTTCTGGTCCTCCTTCAAGAGAATCTGGTAAACGACACCGATCAGCATCTCCTCAGGAAGAACCTCAGTTGGAGTATGCTAGCGTGGAACATCTCGCCAAATGTCTGAAACACTCTTCTTTGTCATCGTCCACTTTAGCCATCATTTCTCCCACAGCATCCTCTACCCGACCACAGTACCACTTTAGACAACAGAACTACGCTACAATGTGCTCTGCACGCCAACTCAACTATCACGACCCGTTCCCGCAGCAAATCATCAACTATTTGGCAGGCCTTCACACCACTCACAGCCTCAAGCTCTCCACGCTAGCCACCTATAGCAATTCAATCCTGGCTCTGTTCTCCGTCAAGGATCAGCAAGCAATCAAGCATTCCGAACCTTATATGGCCTTCTTTAAAGCACTCAAGGCCAAGACCATCCTGCCTCTTCGACACTGGTCGTATGATGTGGCTCCCGCCATTAGTTACATCGTTTCCTTAGGCCCCACCAACGATCTCTCAGACGATCTCCTCACGGCTGAAACAGCTTGACTCTTGGCGATGGTTGGATTTCTCCGCCTGTCTGGCTTGGCAAGAGTGGATCCGGACAAATGCTCTGTTTCTGAGGACAAGGTCTTGCACTTGTGTGTCATGGCTCCAAAAGAAATACGCCAAGGATCCCGCATTACCAAGACAATCACCATTCACCCGCATCCAGATCCTCTTCTCTGCCCTGTCGCAGCCTACTTGGTTTATGTCTCTCGAATTGCTTCGGTAACATGCTACGCAGCTCACTCAGCCTTCCCTTCAATCAGCATACATTGCCTCTTCCGCTCTTTAGCCGATCACTCGCAGCCAATCGGGCCCGAACGAATCTCCAAGCACATCCGCCGGATCATGACGCATGTAGGCAAACCAGGCAATGCTCCGGTTCCCAAGGTTAGGGCCTTAGGTGCTACACTAGCCGCTCAAGCAGGCATCGCAGTGGACGACATAGTGGTACACGGTAACTGATCTTCCAAGGCCATATTCGGACAGTTTTACCAAATTTCTTCAATGACCAACAATAATCTCACGCTGGCTACTCTAGATCAACAACCAACATCATAAAGCTCGAAGTGTAATTTGATGTAGTATACGAATTTATGAAGTATCGTCATAATTACACGAGAGCTAAGTGACCTTGATTGTTCCCGCCCTTCTCTCCCTGTTTTCTTGGTTTGTCTCTTTGTTATTTCCATTCTCACTCAAAAAGATAAAGGATCAAAAAAAAGTTTTATATTACTGTATTTTATTTTACGTTGTACAATTCGAAAAGAATGATTACAACAACCAAGATCACTTAGCTTTCGTGTAATTATGATGATACTTCATAAATTCGTTTGGCTGTCGTACCTAAACGAATCCCAGTTGACTCCACTTCGGCCTCCAATGTGATACATGCTCTCTGAGCCACGCTTTATTTTCCTTATATGATAATAATAATAAAATTTCCCTTTCTTCCCTATATCTTTCTAAGCTGCGCATTCGTGGATAAACTATGACTGATCCGATTAACAATAATGAACAAAGAACATACACCGAAGACGAAGTTATCGAATTACTTAGACGAGTCAAAACTGCCGAACAAGCAGAGGCTCAAAAAGCCAGAGAAGAACGACAACTACCATTGGGGATCACTTCCTCTTTGGACAACCTTACGAAATAACAACACCAAGATAATTTCAAACGCTACAAACGAGCGATTACTAAATGCCACCATGACGAGTGGACAGTGGCCGAAGAGATCAACAAATCCTTCATACCAAAACTTAAACAATACACTGTTGACACAACTCAAGTCGTTAACGCTCACTACAAAGGAGCGGAGAACAGCAGATTACACGGTAGAGCAGCAACCGAAATTTATGAACAGCTCTCCATCATCCAAGCAGGAGAAATCTCAGCAGAACTTTTGGACGAAGCCATTGAAAGCACCAAAAGACTTGCAGTTCATTCCTGGATCCAAGGTGTACAACATAATGAAGATGCTAAAGACTACGCCATTAAAGCGCTTAAATTACCCCCAAGTCTTAAACACTTGGAAACAAAAGAATCAGGCAACAAACGAGAAGCATTTAGCGAAGATTTTATCACCATGTACAACGAAGCCAACTACCAGCAATGAGTACTTAGAGCAGCTACCACCAACATGCCAAATGGAAGAGGTCGAGGAGGATATTCAACTTCCTCACATTGGAACAACAATAGAGGAGGATGTGGATACTTTGGACGTGGTGGAGCAAAAAACTACTTTGGAGGGCGGGGACGTGGGAACTCAACCCTCCACCACAACAACAACTTCTCCAACAATTCTCACAGTATCACACTTTCAGCCTTCTTTTCGTCAACATTGGTAGTATTACATCAAAAAAAAAAAAAAAAAAAAAAGAGATCAAAAAGTGTCCCCAGTAACTTTCAAAATTTGTCCAAAAACAGGAATTAATTTTTGTAAATTAGCGAGAAAATCATTCTAGTGCCTTAGTTCACTATTATTTAACGGGTAGCGATTAACCACCTTGGTGATGTAATCGGTCTGAAACGCGTCATTTAATTCAAGAAAATATACCTCTCGTTCACAGTCATAATGGCAACATGACTCAAGCTGAAAAAGAAAGAAATACAGATATCTGCTGACGAACTCTTGAAGATAGAGACTAACCTTCATGAGCTGTTACCACAGGTAAATACCCTCATGTCTATAGTTCACCTCATTATACCAGTAATCATCAAATAAATACCAATGTAAACAATAAAAAGGAAATACTGAGTTCGTTTTGTTGCACAAAAAAGGAGACTTATTAGATTTAAAAAACTTCATTGGTCAATTGTGATGCCTTAGTCTTTTCTCGTGTGATAAATGCTCGTCTCAGTAATGTAGCTAATAAGGTCATTTAATCAAGTCAGACAAGGTTCATGAAAGGACGATTTATAGGTGATAATGGACTGCTATTACATCTTTTACTCAATCAAGCCCAATGTTCAGGCATCGGTTTATTGCTTTTGAATTTCGACCAACTGTTTATTAAATGTATAGGCCATCTATTTTTTTGGTAATGTAGTACAAGTTGATGACAGTGAATCTATGTCACCGATATTATTCAACCTGGCGCTAAAGCCGTTACTATTATCTATTCAACAGTACGCTGCTATCACTGGTTATCAATACACTTATCAAGGTATACCACAACATGCTAAAACCATTGCTTATACCAATGACATCTGTGTTATTCTACATTCTCAACATGGCTTTCAACGATTACAACTTCATTTACAACGCTATGCAGATATGTTAAATGCAAAATTCAAAAAATCGAAAACAAAAGCTTTTTCACTAAATGAACAACGATATAATGATTGGAATTATCAAGATATTTCAACATATTGTACTAACTTTCTTCAGATATTTAGGTTTCTATATGGTGTATACCATTGCACAACGAAACATTAATGATATATCAGTATGTGTGGCAGCAAAAACGACCATTTGTTTCTTGCAATCAGCTAAGTCTATCAAAGAAAAAAAGTGGTCTTGGGCTTCTACAACCTGCACTCCAGCATCAGGTAGTGCAAATACGGAATCTCCAATTACAATTTTAATATGATTGCTCTCCGTTCGATTAATAAAAGATTGTAAGAGATTCATTTCTTCTATATACTTTATTACTTGAACTCTTTACTGATAGATTGTTAAACTATATTTCATAACTTATCACAGTGTTCTTGTTTTTTTCTATCTTTTGTTTATTCTTCTTCTGACATGTATTTTAGCAAAAATATGCAGCAATAATGGTGAAATAAAAATTGATACTTTTTATTTTATTTGTGTACTACAAATGCATAAGTTACTATATAATAAAGAAATTTATGGTATACATGTGATGAAGAAAAGTATGCATTAATGGTGTGGATGATAAAATGGATTTTCACGGGTTCTGTCTGTGGATTTTTCCATTATTGCTTTAATTACTTTTGCATCTAAAGCAGGTTTAAAGCTATTGCTGATAGTGAATGTATTGCTTGTATAGCATAAACGATGGATCACTTCTACAACATTATAGAGTCGGTCGAGATATGGCACAAGTTGAGGAAGTTCATCAAGTGATAATGGGAAGCGAATACAATCTAATTCAAATACCACCAATATATCGTCCATTGTTTCGCTGATATTGAATTGTACATTGGTTCCTAAGAAAATAAAAAAAAAGTCTTAGTATACACAAAGTTATTTTGATGATTGTAAACTTACCAACAGCCATAATTTGAAACATGTGCTTTAAGTTATATTTGGCTGCACCAGCTTTGGAAAACGTACACAATCGGTGCAAATCAAGGTTAATTTTTTTATGATTCTTTACATACTTGATCGATTTAACTTCAATATATCCTATTGCTTTATGATCATTTTCAATTAAACCATCAGGACGATTTTGGTTAGGATCAACATCAGTGTCAGAAAAGCAGCTGGTATTTAGCCACTTGAAAATAAATTGATCTTCATTGCAGTCAAATAGTTTTTGAAAACAAGGTTGTAAGTACCTGGTGCAAAGTTCAAACTCTTGGCTTTCTTTTTTTTTGATTTATGAAGGGTAGTGACTCTACCATTGATTTAATGAGTTGCAATAATCTTATCATGATTTTATCTGTGCTGTCGTTGATAAGTGATAACATTTTGCTTTCCGCTTGTATTCTTGATAATGAGCCACAGTTAATATCATTGGTAATAGTAATTAAAGTCATCATAACATCCGTTGGAAATTTACGATGTGACTGGTTGAAGCCAAACGAATCATACATAGTTTGTCGGATTGTTTTAATAGGCTCTTCAAAGTAATTCTGTAATCCAGGGTAGAATGAGTTTTTTTCGATGTACAAGATATTGGAGAGTGCAAGTAATTGTTGCAAGTGTGACTCATATGTGAGTGGAGTCTCCAACGATTCAAAGATATCATTCTTGAATTGTAATAAAGAATTCGAATATTTATTATAGTTGTTAACAGGTGTCATATTTTCGGCTATTATTGCTTTAGCATCCTCTAAACTAATTGTTTCAACGCTTTCTACTGTAGTGGTGGTAGTGGTAGTAGTAGTGGTAGTGGTGGTAGTAGTAGTGGAACTTGAAGAACTGCCGTTGTCATTTTGTTGAGGAGAATTTTTAGTGCTGAGTTGGCTTACTTGGCGATTTCGTTGTTTCCAGAAGTCTTTTGAAATTTTTTTACTACGCCATTCATTGTAATCGTCTACCAACTTTTTTTTCAAATCCTCATCCTCTACGAAACTGACCACTGCTAAGAATCGTGTTTGAGCTGTTCTTGTATTGTAACTTTTAAAAAAGTTAAAAAAAATCGATATGTGATATATTACGACCATTGCTACGCAACCAGGTTATTTCACTTGGAAGTCGTTTTGCTTTTGCTTTCTCTCCCATTGTAAAAAAATAAAAAAAGGATAAAGGAGAAAACAAATAATACTCTCTAAAATCCAAGAATACACCAAAAAAAGAGCTTGTTTACAAACATTTTGTTAATTATATGCTGTGTAATACACGCTCTTTTATGAAACTTCCTCAGGTCTCATGATAATATAGTAGAGCAACTATCTGTCTATCTATTACATAAAAAAAAAAAAGGAGAAAACAAATAATACTCCCTAAAAGCCAAAAAAAAAAAGTTTGTTTACAAACATTTTATTAGTTGTATGCTGTGTAACACACGCTCTTTTATGAAACTTTTTCAGGTCTGATGATAATATAATAGAGTAACTATCTATCTATCTATCTATCTATCTATTA